TTTCTTTCTTTCTTTCTTTCTTTCTTTCTTTCTTTCTTTCTTTCTTTCTTTCTTTCTTTCTTTCTTTCTTTCTTCCTTTCTTCCTTTCTTCCTTTCTTTTTCTTTCTTTCTTTCTTTCTTCAACTCTAAATATATTTTTATTTTTTTTGCCTTTTTTTTTTTTTTGTGAGGCAGTCAGGGTTAAGTGACTTGTCCAGGGTGACACAGCTAGTGAGTATCATGTGTCTGAGGCCACATTTGAACTCAGGTCCTCCTGACTCCAGGGCTGGTGATCTGTCCACAGCATCACCTAGCTGCCCCACTCTAAATATATTTTTGAACTTTTAAATTATTTATTTAGTATTTCATTTTTTCCCTCAATTACATGTAAAAACAATTTTTAATATTGATTTTTTAAAATTTTGAATTCCAAATTCTCTCCCTCTTTCTTCCCTTGAGAGAGTCAAGCAACTTAATATAGATTATATATGTGCAGTCATGCACAACATATTTCCATATTAATCATGTTGTGAAAAAAAACACAGACTAAAAAAAAAACCCAAGAAAATTAAAGAAAGTGAAAAATGGCATGCTTTAATCTGCATTCAAACTCCATCAGTTCTTTCTCTGGAGATAGATAGCATTTTTCATCCTAAGTCCTTCATAATTTTCTTGGATCACTGTGTTGCTGAGAATAGCGAAGTCATTCACAGTTGATCATCTTGCAATTTTTTATGTTCACTCTGAGCCAAGAGGGCCCAAAAAATAGTCATTAAGTGGTGCTTGGGCAGGGACCTATTGTTGTCCAGTCCTTGAGATCCAGAGTGAATTGGGTTTAGGTTATGTTCTTTGCTCTTTGAGAGAGAAATCTAGCCTGTGAACCCCAAGTTAACTAGGTAGGTTTTGACCATGAAAATTTAACTTTCTTTGGGCAGAAGACCGACGGAGAGGGAGAGGAGAAAGAGGAAGGGGGGAGGGAGAACAAGAAGGAGAGGGAGAAGGTGTTTTTTTGAAATACACTAACACTTTTAAAAAAGTCTTATCACTATTTGCCAGCTCTCTTAATGCCTCAAAAAGAAGTCTTTCCTTGTAATAAATAACTATGATCAATCAGAACAAATAAATATATTTGTTATATCTGAAAATGTGCAGCTCCTCCTTTACCTCCAGTCCATCATCTTTGTACTTAGGTGTGGGAGGCATGCTCCACCATCAGCTGCTCCAGTTTATTTTAGCAAGATCTTAAAAACAGTGTACAGACTGGTTTTTAATTTAATCTTTCAAACAATATGAGAAGTTACTGTTCTTATAAGGTTTAGGTTCATAGAAACAGTCCAAATTTTGTTTCTGTATTCTGTGGGAGGTAATGTGGAATTGTTTAGGATAATTTTTATTCCAAGGTTAATAAAGCTGTCTTTGAATAAATTCATTTTTCTTTTCTTTTAGTTAATGACAGCATCAATGCACCACAACAACAGGTTTATAAAATGTTGGGAGAAATCTTAGGAGGACCCAATTATGCAAAACCATCAGCTCTTGCACCTTATGGATACGTAGTGGGTAAGTCATTGATAGTTAACAAAACCAAAATAATGTAAAAATCACTTTATTAGTATTGGAACATGAAAAAGAAACATGAAGAGTTTTTTTTCTTTTCTTTTCTTTCCTTTTTTTTTTAAAAAAAAACCTCTAAGCATTCATATATTCATTCATTCCCTCAACATTGACTGAAGCACTGAGTTAAGTCTTTAGGGGATTAATGGATATGTTTGAGTTATGGCCTCAGTCTTGAAGAGATTGATAGTCACTTAGAGGAAATAAGATGTTCAAAGTAACTGTGCTTCAGGGTAGAAAAAGATACCATGTACTTTGAGAGTTTAGGCGAGGCAGGGGATCAAGGGAAGCATCCTGGGGGTGGCAGCCTTAAGGCTGGGCTTTATGCAATGGCTGTGATTTTAAATTGTCCATAGTAAGTGGGAGTAATGCTTTCCAAGCTTTGTGAATGGCAGGACAACGATATGGTAACATGTGTTTGAGTAATGGCAAAGGGGCCCAGTTTAACTAGGACATATGAAGGGAAGAAATGAGAGAGGAACTTCAAAGGTCGAGTTGCCCTCAGATTGTGGAGGATCTTGAATGTTAGGCTAAGAAATCTGGACTTTTATTTAGAAGGCAGTTAGGGACCACTGGAGGTTTTTAGGAGTTGGAGAGGGACGTACTCAAGAGATGTGCATTAGGAAAATTTGGCTGCAGTGTTTAAGATGGATTGGAGTGAGAAAAGACTAGAGGCAGGAGTGACATTGGTTGAGAGGCTATCGAAGTCCAGCGGAGAGGTAATGGGGCCCTGAATGAGCGTGGTGGCTGGGTAGCATTGGGAATGGTAAAGAGAGGACAAATACAAGAGACATTGCTGCGATAGAAATGATAGCACTTGAAGGTTTTTTTGCGTGTGTATTCTGAAGGAGTCAGAGAGAATTTGAAGGTTTTGAACACAGGTGACTAAGACAACTGACAGACATGAAGTCAGAAAGGGGGGGGAGGGGTACAGATAATAAGTTTAGTTTAAAATGTGTTGACTTTGAGGTACTCGTGGACAGAGGCTAGGGACCTGAGTTCAAATTCAAGCTCCAATCCTGACCCTCTGTGTCTTACTGATTGTATGATGGCAGGCAAGTCACTAAACTTTTAAATTATTTAGTATTATTTAAACTGCGCCTTAGTCTTCCTCATCTACAAAGTGTGAATAATAGTATTTTTACTAGAGAGGGAGCATAGTGTAAGTGGGTGGAGAGCTGGCCTTGGAACCTGAAGACCTGGGTTCAAGTCTTACCTCTGACATATACTAACTGTGTGACCCTGGGCAGAACACTGAGAGCACTCTCAGTGCTTTAGGCCAGGGCTTCTTAAACTTTTTCCACTCCTGCAGCATTGTGTGGCCTGAGGGCCTGTGCAGTGCAAAGTGCGCATGCTTTGTGTTCAGAACCCAGGCTGCAGTGAAGTTGCCCGGTACAGTACGGGTAAGTGCTGCTAGAAATACATTGGATTCATTATGTGTTTGATTTGTAATCAATTTTTGTTTGTTGTGCATTCAGAAACCTTTTACTGTTGCCAAATTTTTTGTGACCTCACATGGGATGGAAACACACAGTTTAAGAAGTGCTGCTTTATAATAATAAAAAAAAAAGAAGTGCTGCTTTAGGCAACCATTAAGACTCTAAGTTGGGGCGGCTAGGTGGCACAGTGGATAGAACACTGGCCCTGGAGTCAGGAGGACTTGAGTTCAAATGTGACCTCAGACACTTACTAGCTGTGTGACCCTGGGTAAGTCACTTAACCCTAATAGCTTCCAAAAAAAATGAAAGCTTCTAAGTTGCTGGGTAGTTGCTGATCTGCATTAGTAGAGGAAGGTGTTTTTTTTTTTCCATCCAGGAATTCCCTCTGTTGACAAAATTACAGCTCCAGCCCCTATTCCCCACATTCATACTTTCTACATTATGTGACTACTCTGAGAACAGTACTCTGTGTGTGTATCTCTTTATACAAACACGTGTATATGTATATTTATATAGTGCTTCAACTATTTTAGTGGAACATACAGGGAATGATATCTATAGAAACTGAAAGTGTGAGTCTGAAGTTTGGGGAAGCCTAGGGGTTGGTGATATGTTTTGGGGAGTGGATGAGGTTGCTAAAGAAGAAAATGTAGATTGAGAAAAGGACTAAGAACATATCCTTGGTCATATTTAGGAGCTGAGAGGAGGAAGAGGGGACAAAGAGGTAGGGAACAGAGATGTGAGAAGAGAAATTGGTCGGGCAGGAGGTTTTAATACTTGAAGAAAAAAGTTTATTGATAGTTTCCTTTTTTTTTTTGGCATCATAGTCATTTCCAGATTTATACTGAACATTACGTCTCTTGTGTCAAAGATATTAAGTAGTTAAAACCAACCGATAGTATCACCATATCTGATGGTATAGGCAACATTCTGCACTCATCCCCAACCTTTCTGTGAAGTGGAGGAAACTATTTCATTAACTGTTCAGGGAGGAGAAATTTGAAAGAGTAGTGTCATTAATCCTACCAAGGGATGAGAAGGTAAAAAGGAATCATTGTTCAGGGTCTTGCTACAAGGAGAGGGTTTGGTGCTTGAAGACTGAAGGACAGGCAGCTGGATTTGGTGATCGGTATACAATTGGCATTTTTTAAAAAGAGCAGTTTCACTTCCAAAGTGCCCCTACTAAATAAAATCCAACCTTCTTAGCCTAGCATTCAGGAGCCTCCACAATCCAGAGGCAACTCGACCTTCGATGTTCCTTTCTCTCTTCTTCCCTTCATGTGTCCTAGTTAAACTGGGGGTGGAAGCCTGACGATCGCAAGGGTTTGAGGATCCCTTGGAGATGGTGAGGAGGTAGAGGCAGTGAACATAGACTTCTTTTTCTAATAATTTTAAGGAAGAGGAAATGGAGAAATTGTCTAAAGAGACTGATGTGGATATACAGGGAACCCGTAAACTACCGCAGACTTTTAAAAGACAAATGGATAATGTAGTTATTTGTCATTGATGGTCTTTTATTTTTATAAAAATAATAATAAAGGTTGGCTTTGCAAAAGAATTGAGAAAATTCACTTCATTCTTTTAGTTGCAGAGATTGGGTATCATTGGGGTGGTACATTGACACACACTGTCAAAAACAGTCATTATTTTTAAAAAGAGACATGTACAAAAGGTAGGTGCAAGATCATGCAACTGAGGATGAATATAAAAGTTTGTTATAATCCTGTAAAAATAGTGTCAGACACCAGGCCCAGAGGTGAATTCCATCTAGGATGCTGAAAGACTGATGGATGTGATTGATGGGCTCCTATAATTGATCTCTGGATAATGGTGAAGCTGTGGAGGAGGGCAAATGTCCTGAGTTTTGAAAAAAGGAAGACCAGAATGGCTTCATGAAGATGCCAAACCAGACTAATTCAGTTTCTGTTTTTGACAAGGAAATCAACAGAGTGCCTTAGACCAGTGGTGTCAAACAAAGGCCATTAATCCGTACATAAGGATCCCTTTGGGCCACGTATTGGCTTAGTTTTAAAATGTAATGTTATCTACATTTTGTTGTATTTTGTTAAATATTTTCCAGTTACATTTTAATCTGGTTTGGGCTACATTCAGGAGTATTTTGGGCCCCATGGGGACAGGGGCCGGACATTTGATTCTTCTACCTTAGGCAAAGTTTACCTCAAATTTAGCAATGCATTTGACAGTGTTTATCATAGTATCCTTGTGAACAAGATGAAAGGATGTGGGCTAGGTGATAATATGCTTACATGGATCCAGAATTGGCCGAATGTCTGTAGTCAAAGAGGAGCCGTGAATAATTTGATGACAGCATGGAAGAAGGCCTCTAGCTGAGTGACCCAAGTGATGTAAGGCATTGTGCTTTACCTTGTACTGTCTACATTTTTATCAGGGACTTGGTTGAAAACTTAGATGGCGTGTTCATCAGATTTGCAGATGACACAAAACTGAGAGAAATAGTTTAACATGTTGAACAGAGTTGGATTCCTAAAAATTCTAACTGGAATGTTAAATTAGAATGCTGGGTTTCCCACCCCTGTTAAAGGTGAAATTTAATAGGGATAAATGTAAACTCAGCCTTGGGTTTAAGAAATCAGCTTCACAAGTTGACTAGATAGCACTTGATCTGAAAAAAAAAAATCTGGAGGTTTTGATGAACTGCAGACTTAATAGACACAGGGAAAATGATATGGCACCTTCAAAAGAAGAGAAGGATAGGGCTCAGGACAAGGGAGGAGATAGTCCTACTGTACTTGGTGATCAGAAGGAATGAAGGGACCTAAAACCATGCCATAAGAATGATTAAATGAACTGGAGAAGAGAGAACTTGAAGGTGAGGAGAGGCATGATTACTGTCTCCAAATATTCAAAGGGCTTGCAATTAAAAAGGGATTACATACGATAAGTAATTTCAAAAGTCAGAACTAGTGCCAGTGGGTGAAACTTATAGGGAGGTAGGTTTTAGCTAAATATAAAGAAGATCTTATTAACAATTAGAATTCTTAAAAAATGGAAAGAACTGCTTTGTGAACCTGCTAGGTGGCTTATTGGATAGAGCACTGGGTCTGGAGTCAGGAAGACCTGAGTTCAAATTTGAACTCAGACACTATCTAGCTATATGACCCCAGGTAAGTCACTTAACCTTTGTCTGCCTTAGTTTCCTCAGCTGTAAAATGGGGATCATAATAGCACCTGCTTCACACGGTTGTTGGATCAAATGAGATGATAATTAGAAAAGTGCCCAGCACATAGTAATTGCTTAATAAATGCTTGTTCCCACCCCCACCCCCATCCTGTCCCTTTCCATCCCCTGTCAATGAGCTCTCCATTACTAGATGTGCTTATTCAAGTAGAGGCTGAATGAATATCAGGAATAATACAGAGGGGATTCTTACACATTGGATGGGAGATTGAACTAGATGACTTCTAAAGCTGATATATAATAAATGTCTTACAGATTTCTCTTCCTTCATTGAAAATGTGAACAGTATAAAAATCGATTAATTTGTACTGTTTCTAGCTTAGTATATGTGATATAATTAGTCTTTCAGGAGATGCAATATTTGCTAATAAAGGTGAATTAGGATTTGACCTAGTCAGTGCTTCATTTTCCCTAATTGTGAAAGGACATTAATCTCCCTCTTTGGTTCTCATATTAGGCATTAAAAGAAATACTTTGTTAATGCATTCTGAGCTAGCCCAGTGTTGGAGATGGACATATTAATCTTCATTCTGCTGGGTAGTAAATGATTTCTGGTTGCTTATTAGACTATTAGACTGAGAGTTGGGAAGAACTGATTCCCGCTCCCACTCATTTATTAGCTGGATTTATCTCTTCTTGAGTTTTAGTTTTCTCATCTATCAGATGGAGATATCAACTCACTCATAGAATAAAATAAAATAATGTATATAAAGTAAGTGCTTTGTATGTGAATGTGTGCTCTGATCATGACTTTTAGTAGTGCAGTAATTTTTCCCTATTTTTATTATTGTAAGTGTTCAAAATGTAAAATTAGGATGAAGAAAGTATGACCAATATTGCTTTTTGTCTCTTTAATATCATAATTACAAAAAAAGATTTACCTTGTCCATGCATTTGATTACTGTACTCCCTTACAGATTTTGAATATATCTTGGATAAAAAGAAAAAGCCTCTTCCTTATAGACATCAGGGTGTGTTCTTGGATGACCTGCCAAGTGTGTACTGGAGACCAGATACCCCTGATAGTAGGTCAGGACTGCCACCAGGAGCACAAAGGTAAATTGTATTTAAATTCTAGATTTTGTTGGGTCAAAGTTATATTATACAATGAATTTATCAATCAATAAGGACCTCTTTGCTAGATTTTTGCATGAATTAGCTTGTCAGTTATATGTAATTTAAGTAGGATATTTTGGTGTTCTAATTCCTTTAATTTTTGTTATTTTAAAACAGCGTTTTGCATATGGTAGACATTTAAGTGTTTGCTGAATTGAAAACATTTTTGTTTCCTGGAAACTTGTAATTATTCAGTGTCTTATTTTGATATCAAAAGTAAATGTTCCTTTTGTTCTATATAGGGTTGCTTTGGAATTTTTGGATTCACGAGCATTTTGTAAAAACATCCTCCACTTAAAAGGAAGATCTGCTATGAAAAAAAGACATCTGGAAATTTTGGGTTATTGTGTGATTCAGGTATAGTGCAAACTCAAAGTGTCCTACTATAAAAAACTAAACTACTTAGGAGCACTACATATAAATGGTGTATTTTTCTAACATCTAGCACACTACCTGGTATATAGTAAGTGTTCAGTAAATGCTAGTTGATTGATTGATGTTTTATCTTAATATGAAGTGGGCAAAATTATTTCATTAATTTGAAAATTCCAGGGGCAGCTAGGTGGCACAGTGGATAGAGCACTGACCCTGAAGTCAGGAGGACCTGAGTTCAAATGCAGCCTCAAACCAAACACTTGACACTTATTAGCTGTGTGACCCTGGGTGAGTCACTTAACCCCAATTGCCTTAAAAAAAAAAAAAAAAGGAAATTCCAGAATTCCCTCTTTCATATTTTGTAGAAAGCAGAAAATTCTTATTTCCTCAGTTGTTACTTTCTTTGGAAAACATGACTTGAGAGCAGAGGGGGCCAGTGCAGAGGGGAAAGGATCATGAAATCACAGACCTCGAGTTGGCAAGGGCCTCAGAGGCCATCTGTCCAGTCCTCCCTCCAACCTCCCACCCCCCACCTCTCTCCTTACCCCCATTTTACATGTGAGGAATCTGAGGTCCAGAATGGCTGGGTGACTTGCCCAGGGTTACAGAATACACTAAGAGGTAGAGGCAGGATTTAAAATTAGGTCTTCTGACTCCAAAGTCAGCTCTTTCCCCTGAAGAGGTAAGGTTGAGAGACAGGTTAAGCACACTAAAGAAAACTCCCAGTATTGGCCTTCAGGAGAAGAGAGAAGAAAGAAGACAGAGTGAACAGAAGGAGGTGTTCATAAGAACATGATACCATTAGCTGCTGTAGATCTGTGGGATGTGACAGGAACCAAATTCTTTTTTTTTTTTTTTTTGTTAAGGCAATTGGGGTTAAGTGACTTGTCCAGGGTCACACAGCTAGTAAGTATCAAGTGTTTGATCTGAGGACGGATTTGAACTCAGGTCCTCCTGCCTTCAGGGCCAGTGCTTTATCCACTGCGCCACTTAGCTGCCCCAGGAACCAAATTCTTGCTAGAGCTCTGCTTCGTAGTAGCTTTTATCTTTTTTTTTTTTTTCAATAGGTTATATATATCTGAATCTAAGAACTGAAGCAAATGTAATCTGAATCTTCTATCTTACAGATCCCTTATTTGGTATGGAATTCTATGGAATTATCAACAAAGGATGCCCGGATGGAGTATTTGAGAGAGCATATGTTTGCAGAAGTCAAATCCTAATTATAATTTGTATCTATTATATATCATGTTTTAGATTTAAATTATAATAGAAAATATGAGCTTGATTAAAAATAATATTGTGAAATATTTAAGACTGATTAAAAAAAGATCATTACTGTGTAACAAACCTGTACTTCAAATAGATTTTTAAAATTGTATACTTTTTCCCATGAAGCACTGTTACTTCTTTTAGTATGAAAGTCATATTTCTTTTTAACAATAGATTGCTAATTATACTTGAATATATATTTTTAAGAGCATTGTAATCAGGCAATTTATTGGCACCTGAGGCCTTGCTGAAGCCTGATATTAGCGAGATTTATAACCCACTAGTTTTCTATTTGCTTCAAGTCAGGGATCTGGATCATACAGGCTTTATCTTGAAACAATTTAAAGTGAACAATATGGAAGATATTCTCCTCAATCTTGCCCAGATATATGTAATACTAACTCTGTGAGGTTCAAGTAGCCAAATGTTATTGAATCATAGTAATTTAAGACATTTTATTGACACTATTGTCATAATTGCATATATTTTACACCTTTCTTTGTGACCATTCCAGTCAGAAGTTTCATTTTGATTTTTAAAGCAAATATGTGCTTAAAATGTAACCTTTAAAATGGTTAATGATTACATGAAGCTCAGAATACGACAAAGTTAAGAGTCATCAGTCCGTGTCACCACGCCATTTTGAATGCCAGTTAAATAATTTTTGCTCTGATTTTGATGTAACCAGGGCAAAAGGTTTTTTAAAATTATCTATGTGTTTTTATCAGATAGTAATAGCGAATGCTAATTAAATTAATCCGTCATGTTTGTTCCTAAACTGACATTACATTGTTTTTCTTCCATGTGACCACTGTCAAGTGCTACATACTGATCTAAGGTATCAAATCAGGTCAGTATTTTTGTGTCCTGTAAAGAAAAAGCATCGATATTCTACCTCAGTGGGGAAATTACTGTATTAATTAGCCTAAAATCAGAAGTAAATTTGACAGTATTTCAGAAGGGAAGCAGCCACAGTCTAATTCTAAAAGCAGTCTCAGGGTTTCTGGTAAAATGGCTCATGCAGAGAAGTCCAATCTCTTTTTGACAGCAAAATAAGACTTTGTAATTGAACAAGTAACTATGGTAAAGGTGTCTAACTTTTGAGGGTGTGTGTGTGTATGGTTGTGGTGAGGAATGTACATACTCTCTACCTGGAGCCTAAGCAAACAGGACACAATTTCTTCTGGAGCTCTCACGACTTATGTGAAGAGATCAAAGAATGATTTTATTTACTGCTTGCCACCTTACATTTCCAAACAGTGTACCTTCCATGCACATAAAAACCCACCAAGGAACACATCATTCAGTAGGTTAATGAATAAATCAATTTCTTTATTGGTACTCTCCCAACTCCCCACCCCCTGCAAAAAAATAAAAAGAGAGAGAGAGAGAGAGAGAGAGAGAGATAGTAGCTTATGGAGTTTCCTGATTTTGAATTTTTAAAGATAGAATCACTGATTTATTGGTAAACCAAAGAAAGTTGGAAATTGGATGATGCACAGGCTTACAAGGACAAGAAGGGAAAAGAAAGAACACTTAAATTTCACTATTTTACTTCAAGACTTTTTCCCTTAAGTGATGAAAAGATCCTTTAATGGTCTTAAATACCATTTCTGAAATCTTGCATTATTTTCTTCATTACTAAGCATAATATTAATATCTCAATATTTTGATGTATTGAGGAAATTGTTTGACAATTTTTAACTTGATACAAGAGAAACAGAAAGGTTTTTTTGTTGTTGTTAAAAAAAGACACATTGCATCCTCAAACTTCGATTGTAATTGAAAATGAGTGTAAAAGTAGCCTAATAATACAAATGATAGCTATAAAGGCACAGACAATTTGAACTTAATATCTCTTTACAGACATTTGGATCAGACAAATTACCAACAGGATTGTATAAATTCAATTTTATCTTTCATCTCCTTTTAGAAATCTTTATGATGACTGATTATTACATTAAGAATATATTTACTTTGATTCATTATCTACAAAAGTTGCCAACATTTCAGACAATGACACAATAACAATAGATTTCTATATAAATTTCTGTACAGTCTTTTTAAAACACAACAAATTAAAAATCCATAATAAAAACTCCCACCGATTACATTTTGTCACTTTTCTTGTCTATAATTTAGAGAGTTTGAAAAGATTGAAGCGTGTTGCCAGGCAGCTAGCTCCTGAGGCATAACGAATCTCCTTTAACATGCCAGTCCATTCTTTTTTATCATCTTCATACCTGTTTAAGGGGTGGGGTTGAAATTGGTTAATAAGCATTTGAAACTGTTCTGTCTTAAAGGTTTACTATTTTACTAACAAGAGTTAGTATGTGTATATCCTTGAGGGCAACTGGACCAAAGATTCTACCCCAAATGACCTTAAAGGAGGTCACATGCCCACCTGGGTGACTTATTGTTCCCAAAACTCGGCCTGTTTTGAATTAGTAGTTTAAGCTTCAGTGTTATCTATTGCTACTGTGGCCATGTTGTTTTTTCTTTTCTCTTTTTTTTCTTTTCTCTTTTAAATTATGAACTCAACACATCAACATGAACATTTCTGTATACAGAGAACAGAAAAAAGACTGACTTGTATATAAAACATACGACTCTTACTACTGTATCTAATTTTGATCAATCAATTACTACTGCATCTAATTTTGATCAATCAATTAACAAGCATTTATCAAACATCTATGAATTAGGCACTTGGATAGAAATGCAACCAATGAAATAGTCCCTACCTGTTAAGCACTGATAAATGGTGAGCCCAGTCACTATCTGTTTATCGAATAATTGAATCAATAGCTGTTACGTCTGAGTCAAGATTTTTGTCTGGACCCCGGGCTTCATCTTTGTAATGGACTACTGGCACTGGAACTTACTCCTTAGATGCATATCTATTGGCACCATACTAACTTGTAATCTTAGGAAATTGCCTGGGGCACCAAGAGGTTAAGTGACGCCTACATAAATGATATGTCAGGGGCTGGACTTGATCCCAGGTCTTTTTGACTTCAAGACTAGCCCTCTATTTTCTCATCAAGATAATGGGTCTTAATAATCTCAATAATTATTTCAACTCCACTTTCATCCTGCTTATGTGATCAGAGTTGAAAAATTAATTGCCCCTTTTTACTTAACAGTTTGTGACTATTAATCTGAAGATTTTTTTCTGAGTTTCTGAACTTGATGGCAGTTGAGAGCTGGTCTCTTTCTAAAAGTGCTTCCTAAGCTAAAGATGTAAAATGATAATGATACAGAGTTAGCCAGGACCTGAGCAAGATATGCACCATCAGGTTTAATTTCTTTATTATTTCAAAAACTAATTCTCAGATGGCAATAAAACCATAAGGAAAATCTTTATGCCATATGATAAACAATTGTGTACCCCTTATGCAAGCAAAACTTTGTGCCCAGTGTTCTCTATAGATGGCTCTAAACTATTAACTAATAAATAGTTTATTATTTATATACTGAAAGATAGTACAGAACCTGGGGCAGCAAATTAACTTAAAGAATAGTTTTAATAGTTTAAGGGAAATGTGACTACATTTAAGCAACAGGAGGTTTAAGGTTAAATGAAGCTTGAATAATTGGAGTTTCCAATTAGGTTGTTTTCTATCTGTGCCTGATAAAATATGGTCAATCTTTATTTTTCTGAACAGTTCCAAGAGAAAACAAAGGGGATGGAAATTTTTGATTCAAGTTATGAGAAGAAATTACAGTATTTTCAGTAGCAAGGTTTGGAATGTGATGCTCAGAAGTGGGTATTTGCATCCAGTTTAACTACTACAGGCTTAGGAATTCAAGAACAAATAAGCTTGAGGGGATTACCAAGGTTGTTCAGCATCACTGGCCTAAGGTTAAAATTCTGCTGTCCCAAATACATTTCAGAAAGGTCTCTCTTGCTCTTTTATTCATTTTTAAAAAGCTATCTGTAAAGCCAGCAATCCCCTTTTATTCCCTGTCCTATGACTGGACAGTATTTATCCTTTTGCTATTCTTTTTGCTCAGTCTCCCCATCTTCTTTGTGGTATTCAAGGCTCCTTGGTCTTTTTATTTCCCACATCCCAGTGGGGAGCATCTTCCCTCTACTCTGCACTTCCTTATGACATCATTAGTGGGAATGTAGCCTCAGTTACCTGATCACTCCTCCAAAGCCTTCACCACCCCCATCCTCTCCCCTATTATCTTTTTCCTGCTTTCTGTCTTTCTGTATCTCACACCCCCTACTAATTACAGTCTGCTTCCTCTTCTGAATATCGCAAGGTGCTCCTCTTCCTCCCTGAAAGCTTCATAGGTTAGTCAATCCTTCCTGTCTTCTTGATCTTTTTAGAAACTCCCTTGTAGGATGATCAGCCATGCCCTATTCTGATACATGATGACAACAGGGCCATAAGGAAGACCCAGAATTCTCTCTATAGGCACACTTGGATTTAATTATGAAGATTATTCTCAGATTTACCCAAGCAGTCCTTAACTCTCTCTTTTTGTATTTTGTAGCATCCCCAGCATTTAGTTTAACACACAGTGGCACAGAAAATAGAGTGCTGGACTTAAAGTGAGGGAGACCTGAGTTTGAATCCTGCCTCAGTCATTCTCTAGGGGTGTGACCCTGGATAAGTCACTTAACCTTTGTCTGCCTCAGTTTCCTCATCTGTAAAATGGGGATCTACCTTATGGGCTTGTTGTGAGGATCAAATGAGGTAATTTAAGTAAAGTGCTTTGCAAATCTTAAAGTGCTATATAAATACTAGCTATTATTATTATTATTATTGTTTTTTCCCCCTTAATCCACCTCTTCCTCTAAGTTCCCTGTTTCTGTCAAGGTCACCACCATTCTTCCAATCACCCAAATTTGCAATGTAGGAATCATCTTCAGTTAGTTGTTCACTCTCATTTCCCACTCATCTCCCCTCGATCCAAAAGAGTTACCAAGTTTTATCAATTCCACTTTCTTAATGTATCTCTTCTTGTTTCCCTTCTATCTCCTAATGCCACAACCACCCTAGTTCAGGCCATTATCACCTCTTGCTTGAAGTACTGCAATGGCTTCCTAATTGGTCTCTCTGCCTTTAAGTCCATCCTCCACCCAACTGTTAAATGGAGATGTCTAAAGCCTGGGTCTGACCAGGTCACTTCTCTCCTCATGAAGCTTTAGGGACTTTACATTGCCTTTAGGATAAAATGCAGACTGTTTTGTTTGGCTAATAACAGCCAGCGTTTACATAGCACTGACTTGGGACCAGGCACTGTGCTAAGCACTTTACAAATATCTAACTTGATCCTCATAACAACTATGCTATTACTATCCCCATTTTACAGATGAGGAAACGGGCATTTAAAAAGCCCTTCATAATCGGATCCTAGCCTATGTTTCCATGCTGATTACACAATGCTCCTCCACACACATTCAATGCTCCGGCACAACTGGCCTCATTATATACCATTCCATCTCCTTTCTTTGAAGCTGTTCCTCAGTCTTGGAATGTTTTCCCTCATTACCCCTGCCCTTAGGAAACTCTTGTTCCCTTCAAGGCTCAGCTCAAGTTATCTCCTCCAAAAGGCTTGTCCTGATTGTTAGTGCCTATCCCACTCTCTACTCCCCCCCTTCCCCTCAAACCCCTCAACCCTGCCCCTTGTATATTTATTTTGTATATATCCTGTTTCTAGCTATTTATAAACATGCTGTAATCTCCCCATTAGAATGGTAGCACCTTGAAGGCAAGGACTTTTTCACTTTTGTATTTGTATTCTCAGTGCCTGGAACATAGTATGCATTTCAGAAATGCTTTTTGATTCATTGCATAGGTTGTCTTCTCCAAGAACATAAGAAACTCAGGCCCAGTCTTAGTGATTTCGCTATTAGCTTTTCAGTTTACCAATTTAAAGTTGGTGCTGGTTTAAGTACATATATATCCCCTTTGCCTTTCCCCTGCTGTTACATTCCCATGACGTATTCTTATCCAGGTCCTTATTTGTCTACCTCAATTTGAAAGGCAACTCAGGCTCAGTACTGAATTGCAGAGTATTGGGACTTGAGAACCTGTATTTTGAACTGTAAATTCTGCTAATGACATCTCTGTTACTCTCGATAGCACCAAAACTTCCTCTAGACTACTTTTCTGTTTCTGGGCACCTGTTAAGTCACTCACAGAGCCTTTACAGGAACCTCTATAAGAAACTCTGATATGAAACTGTGAAATCAAAGTGACTTTAACAATTATTTATTTCTTAGGCACAGGCAAGAAGTATGGCAAATTTAGTTGAGTAACATGAGGAAACCAAAATCATGAAGAATCTAACAGCCTGTCTAAAAGCAAAATATCTTGTTACAGTATTTGTAGGCATTTTATCTTTTTTTTTCCTTCTTTCAAATGCTTTTTCTTCTGGTTGACTAAATTAACCACCTTCAGCTAATTAAAGTTTTCTTTAAATCAGATTCAGCATTTAATTCATGACTGCATGGAATACTTCAAAGGCCAAATAAAGAATGTTCGTCAGCAATGTAATGTAAAGAGTATCTGGAGTCTGTACACCTGGCCTGGATTTCTGGTTGTGTGACTTAGCCTTTCCAAGCCTCAATTTCATCATCTATAAAATGTAGCATGAATGTCCTCACAGGGTTGTTTTGAAAATCCAGTAAAATTAAATATGTAACAAAGCATTTCATAAAGCATAATGTGCTATAGAAATGTCAGCTGTCAGCTAAACTACTTTAGAAACAGCATTAACTCTTTCACTTTCATAGGGCACTATTTTAAAACACCAACATTACAATTTCCAGTCAGATTAGTGGCTCAAAGGTTTAATTTGGGTTCTGAGAGTGCTTACTACCAAGAAGTAGCTTACTTGCTGAGAGAATCTGTCCATTCTTTCATACAAAAATAATTTTTTTCATTTAGATTTAACACATGGTAAATACTACCAGAAAAATTGGAAGAAATAGAACTTACTTCCATATATCATTGACTTCCGTGGGTGCAAATTCCTGGGACTCAAGTTGAATCATAGCAAACCCACCAATAGCATAAAGAGATCCAGACATACTGACTAAACTGATAGAACTTCTCTCTTGGGGAAATTCAGGCATCACTTCCCACCTAAGCATTATTAAAAACAAATAAATGTTAGACAGAAGCTAAAGCACGCAACAACTCATAAGCACTGGTAAGAGCTAACATACTCACTTATTGGTGATAAGATCAAAAGCTTCTACTGAAGCTGAGAGGCCATCTTCCGTGACACCTCCTGCAATCACAATTTTGCCTTTATGGATTGCCACTCCAAACATGGAACGAGGGGTTTTCATTGGGGCCAAATCTTTCCAGTCTCCTTTTTTGGAGTTGTAAATAAATACCCTATTTGTACATTTTCTGTGAACATGAACACAAATGAGATTATTCAGTATCTTGGATTTTTAAAAAAGACAGCTGAGTAGCTGACCCCTTTGGCAGTTTTCATATGAAATATGGTATTTGGCAACGGTAGACAGACAAATGTTTATAATGCTGCTATCCAAAGTGTTCTTAATTTGTATGTAGGTCACGTGGTCATTGGTTAAGAATAATCCCTGACACCACTCTGTCCCTCGCCTATGCCACTCCTGTAAAATGATGATTGTGGAATGACATTCTCAGTTAAAATCTCTAGATGATATGCAAATGGAAATAGTCACAGACCAGTTCTACCCACAGGGGAGACTGGGGTTTTCCCAGGAAAACTGAAAAGGAGAATCTCTAAGTTGAGTGTTAACAAACATTTTGTGAGCTTATTTGCAAAGGAGCAGATTATGCAGATACCTCCTTTAAGTGTATCCTGCATGTTGCACCCATGCGTTTTAAAGAAATTATAGACTAAACTGTAGACTACAAAAGAAACTATTATATATAACATATATGTATGTAATACATATAGTTTAAAGAAACTATAGACTATAAAGCAGACTATTGACCAGTATGGTCATTGTGGTTAATGAATAATGTAGGGAAGGGCCATGATTGTTCTACTTCTAATTTTTAAATGCTGACCAAAAAAATTATCTTATTCTCCTATGTACTTTTGTGTAGGCACCAGCCAAAGAACTTCAACAGAACTCTGATTATACTTCAACAGAACCATGATTTCATTAACAAGGGCACTTTTCTTCAACAGTATAGTTTGCATCCTACCCATGTCTTCTTGGGCTATATTCTTGCCTGTGTGTTCCTTAAGTTTTCCATAAAGGATGCACCTAATGTGCTAGTGGTCTCACTTAGATTCTTTTAGTACATTATGGATATAGAGTGCAACATTCAGGCTGCTCATCTGTTATCCCTCCTTAATCTTGCTGCATGACCAGCCTCCTTTTCCAGTTATACTTACAATCTTGCTCATAAGGTATGATTGGCAACATGCTATAGCTTGCTTATTCCTAACCATGTTTTTTATTGCCATTTGGTTCATGTGAAACCATGATGCTTTTGAAATCTGCAGTGTTGTAGCATCATGGGAGAATGCTAATATTAGAAAGATGGGGTTTTGTGCCAGAGAACAACTAGGGACCATCAAAGCATGACAAAGTTTCTCAATTGTGGTCCAGCTTGATTTCTTCCTTTGATTCAATTCTAGGCCTAGATTATTATCTATGCCAGGTATCTATCTAAGCACCTGTCCAAAGTATTTATACAGATAGACCAAGTCAGTGTTGCTTGTCCAACTTCATGGCACAATCTAGGCAATATTAGTTCTTTCTCCCTTTTGCTTTTCCCATGTGGATTCCTAGGATCCAGTCTCTCTCACTTAAAAATTCTTGATGCATTGTATAGCAACGCAAATAATGCTTCTCAACAAACACCCAGACCAATCCCTTTACAAAGTACATTCACTGAAAAGTCAAGAAAACCACCTAATAAGGTGATTACAACTCATAGTATATGTCCACTTTTGTGACTGACCTATTGTTAATAAAAATGTAGTCTATATGCTTTTGTTTTATATTGCCTCTTATTTACATTGTTATAGTCTTTGCATATAATGATCTTTTCTCCCTGCTTTCTTTAGTCTGCATACAAGTCTTCCTTTGCTTCTCGGATTTAAAATATTTGGATTACACAAATATATTATTGTTAGTAACATTTTTTTCTAGTATGGTACAACCTGCCAGAGTGGGGACTTCAGTGTCATAGCCTTTGAGCCCACAGGGTTACTTTCATGCCACCATGACACATTAGGACTTTGTGGAGGTAGAAGAACAAACTGATGGAAAAATGCATATTGCCTAGTCATGTATCTGGACAGGCAGCTGGTTGAATTAGTCTCTCAATTAGTACATGTATATAAATATTGGCAGGCACTGTAGCTGGACAATGAACTGGACCCAGAATTGAATAAGATGGAGAAAGGAGGCTGGATTCTATTTGTGAAATTGTACAGCACTTTAAGTTATACCAAGTTGCTCCCTGCAGGAGGAGCCCATCTCTTTTAAAACCAATATTCTCCTATTGACACTATGTGTTATAACTATCTTTGAGGAACCAAAATTATAAGTAACACACATATTTACATAGCAAGAGATATAGAGTGGGTATAGTTAAGCTGCACTATCTTACTAGTACAAGAAATGATTTTGGAGATGGAAGATAGAAATCATCTGGTCTAAATCTCTCATTTTACAGATGAGAAAACTGAGGCCCAGAGATGTGAAATGACTTTTTCAAGGAAAGAATCAGGATCTGAACCTAGTTCTAATGACTCAAAAATCCAATGCTCTTTTCAGCATATCCACTTGCCTCCAAAAATACATAAGCCCCCAAAAAGAGGTAGGTTATCAAGGAATGAGAGGCAATCAATCAGCACAGATGCCAAACTGGATTCCCTATTGGATTCTTGGAAAGGAATAGACAAGATGCAATCTGCTTCAGTCATTAGAGAGAGGGCCCATACTAATCAAATAATAGATTCAATGCATAGAATTACAAAATATGTTTTGTAATAAGGAGAATCTCAATTTTTTTTCCAGAAACAAAACTTTTCTTTTTTAATTCTGAATAGTGCCAGGTCTTTGGACTATAAGAATAAAAATAAGCATTGCAGCTAAGGTCTACCTCGAATATAACTTTGAACCTAAAAGTTCTAGAAATGGTAGCAAACAAATTAGCTTTCTTCAAGTTTTATGAGAGTAACTAGTGTAATCTGGTATCTTCTTTTAGACACTATCTCATTTCAAAAGACTTCTCTTTGGCATTTGTCAAGCAAGGCTACACTTTCCTCATATTCTTAAGTATATCATGTCATAGTAACATAATCATTTCCTGACCACTAACGAACAGTAGCCAAAGGAAAACATTTAAATTATTTGGCAAGTTTACAATGTTTTGCAAGTCACGGCGCTACATGCCTGCCACTTTTTCATTCAATCTGTTTCCAGAAAAATAAAAGGAATATCCCTAGGTGAGGTGATGATCGACCTTCCATTGAAGTCATTTAGACCTCTTGGCTGGTACTAAATAAAACATCACAATTCCAATAAATTGTATTTGCATGTGGATGGTATATTTTACCAGGATACAAAATGTTACTTTCATGCTTTTTAACTGAATGCTCTGTGCTACATTTGTCATCTTTGATGAATGATAGAAAATTTTTTAAAAGTTGTATTGTCAGTACCCTTACTCCTGAGGGCAGTGTGGTCTGTGGGAAAGCATTGTGGCTTTGGAGTTAGAGGCCTGGGGTTCAGTTGCTGGCTCTACTAACTTACTACCTTGCTGAACTTGAGAGAACTACATCAACTTTCTGGGCTTTGGTTTTCTTGTCTGTAAAATGAAAATGTTGGACAAGATGATCACTAACATCCCTTCTGGATCTCATCCTATGACTCCACCTTTCTAATAATACAAAATTGTGGTCAAATGCCTGAATGTTACCTGGTGGTAATCTGAATAAGTTGTTCTTTCCTTTTATCCCCTTTTCGTGATTCTGTGTCATTTAAGCAGCTTCAAGACTCACAAGTCAAGTCAGGATTAGAGGCAAAGTTAAATACAATATAAAGTCCTATTTAACTTTCTTGCATCAAGCGAACCACTAACTAGATTTCTGATACAAGGTCATGGGAATCGGTGGCATCACTGGTTAATACAAAAATCAAAATGAAAAAAAAATACCCATGGCTAAACTGAGAAAATATCTTGACACTATTATACTAAATTCTCATGACTGTGCTTATTCTGATTAAAACTCATCCGACAACATTCTCACCAACATATAATACAAATCAGCTGTATTACTTAGTCCAGTAACACTTGAAATACTAAATTAAATAGCCAAATAATTTGTCTATAGTTATGTGGAATAATTAAATTCCATGTTTCTTTTCTTTTCTTTCTTTTTTTTAGTATAATCAGACAGAAAGACTCGCAATATATCAGGGATTGGAGATAGAGCATTCTAACTCATCTCCCATGTAGAGTTCTCTCATTATAACATGAAAGATTCAAATGGGGTTTTTATACCCTTTTCCCCAGCGTTCTATTATGTTCTACTCAATTACTTTAGAAGATTTTAAATTTTAATATAGTACTTCTGCCAGAATATGCACAGCATCCTACATAACTTTTTTTCAGATTCCTTTATATCTCTATTGACAATAAGTTCAGAAAATTTTTATTTTGCTCTCAACACCCAAGTTTGAAATTTTACTTTTCACACAACCAAATTAGGACTTCCCCTCATTTTAGAAATATGAATTCAAAGCAAGAGAGGAAGGCTATTTTATAATAATTTTCCTGGTATAAATCATAAAGAAATTTTGGAGTACTTACTTGTCATCTGTCTTTCCTCCCAGACAATATATCATTCCATTATGTGAAACCACATTATGGCCGTAGACTTTGATAGGAAGCTTTTTCACTTCATTCCATTTTATAGCCCTATATAATTAGAAGGTGAGAGGATGTGTGTACTTTCATTAAATACAGGGTTTTAAAAACATGAATGCATAATAGGCACTTAATGAATACTTGAATACTTTGTGAAAATAAATGGAATACCAACGTACACAGGATCAAAGCATAAAACTGAATCCAGTGAAGCCTCCGTTTGAAGATCTTTGCCAGCCACTACATAGATTTTGTCATCTGCTTCTCCCAGGCCAAAGAGACACCTGGCTGATGGAAGAGGAGGAAGTCCAACCCATTCAGCTGCTACATTATCAAACTGGAAAGATGACACAATAAGGTTATAGAGGTAGGTAGTGAAAATACTCAAAGGCTGTACTATATACATTTGACAGTAACAGTAAGACATTCACAACAGTAAAAAAAAAATCATATCAAAATAAAAAGGGATAGCATTATATCTATGAATTATTTAAAAAAGTGTTAAAGGCACAATCAACTATAGTAACTAATGTTACCAGGATCATCTTCAGGCCCTAAAGGAAACAAAATCTAGCAATATCATAATCCTATTTAAGGTTATCATTTTCCCTTCCTGATTTTCAAAAATCAAGCTTTACTATCCTGGCAGTACTAAAAAAAAGAAAAGAAAAAAAAGAACATTTAGCTTCTTTTAAAAATTGGACTAAACCTCCGATTTGTTTGGGGTAGAGAACTCCTATTAAAAGAAACTTCTCTACTAATGCAGATCTGAAATTACCCTGCAATTTCAAATATCACAGCATTGTCTGGAGGAAATGACTGGCTCATTGACTTGCCCAGGGTTATAAAACTAGTAGTGTCAGAGGCAGGATTAAACTAGAATTACTGAATCTTACAGCCTAGTTCTCAATCCATTCTACCATGTTGCCCCTCATGGTGCAGCAGACAACAGTTTTGAGTCTGGAGTCAGGAAAACCTGAGTTTAAATCTGACATCAGACACTGACTGTGTGAGATCCTTGATAAGTCATTGAACCTCTGTTTGCCTCAGTTTCCTTAACTGTGTGGTTGTGAGGATCAAATGAGATAATAATTGTAAAGTACTTAGCATAGTACCTGGCACATAGTAGGTACTATTATAAATGCTCCTTTCCTCCCTTCTCCTTCTGAGACATGAGAATAATTCGAAGATTGTGGAGACATGAGGTCATGTGAAATGTGTGTGGAGTCTCAAGGGGCAGGAGTAGAGAACCATCTTTAAGGATATGAGTGCTCCCAGGCATCCAACGGCCAAAGGGCCACAGGCAGCATTTCAGTTTTGAAAGGTTTTTATCCTTCTGGCTATAATTAGCATTTCCCCTAAGCCAGTATCCATGCCAGTTGCACCTATCGCTCAGTTCATTGGACAGCTGGAGAATTAAGCAACAGTTTTTTGTTCCTTAGGTTTTCTTCTCATTTTGAACTTTGTAAATGTTCTGTTTCTAGTTTTATTGATGCTGACTCATGTCAATCTCAGGTGAATTTAAATTTCTTAAAGACTGTTGTTTGAAGTCACTTGAAATATACTTTTCTCTCTTTTCTGCTTTAAGCTAATAACTTTTTTTGTTATAGCTACATCTGCAGTTCTAAGTTATTCTCTCTATTCCTTCATATAAAAATGGATGATGTTAGTTTGGTCAGGGTCAGGATCAAAATGAGGCAATTTTAGGATTTTGCTTTTTGTTTCATAACACTAAGGCATATGAAAGCTATTTTTGAGAGAATGAAGCAGTACTATAGGACTATTTTTCCTCCTGCTGTTTCCACTTAAGCAAAAGCAAATTAAATTCTAATCTTTGAATGGTAAAAATCATTACATAATCACAACTAAGAGATAGGAAGATAGTACTCAAAGAGACATATTTCTTTGTCTCTCAGAATGTATATCTATACAAGTTAGTTGTTTACAGCATGATGTTAATGAATGTTGGAGAATGAATTCAATGCCAATATGCACCCATGTGGTTTGCATTTCACTTAATAATTATGATATCTAAATTGTGACCAAGGCCATTGAGTTCTTAATTTTTGTATATCTGGACCAAGGATCTAGTATGGTAGAAATAACAGAATATTGAGTATTGGAGGACATAAGTTTTAGTTCAGTTATTTGATCTCCAGCAAAATCTTAATATTTAGATCTTCAATTTTTTTTTTATCCTTAAAAAGAAGGATTTGGACCAGATAATGTTGAAGGTCCTGGTCTCTTCCAACTCTAAATTCTATGAATGTTTAGTTTCTATGGACATTTTTATTGTTGTTATTTAGTCATGTCTGACTCTTCATAACCCCATTTGGGGTTTTCTTAGCAGAGATACTGAAGTAGGTTGCCATTTCCTTCTCTAGCTCATTTTACAGATGAGGAAATTGAGGCAAACAGGATTAAGTGACTTGCCCGGGATCACATAGCTAGTGTCTAAGGCTGGATTTGAACTCATGAAAGAGTCTTCCCAGGCACAGCATTCAATCCTAGTTGCTTATTACATTTGTATGAAATTTCTCATATTCCCACTGTTGGTAATTTGTAATTAGGAACTAAGCTATTCCAAAACTATTGCTTTAAAGAAATAGTAAAATAATATATATATACATATATATGTCACTGAGCTATTGTGAGGTTCAAATGAAATAATATATATAAAGAGCTTTGCAAATGTCAAAGTACTAAGTGTCAGTTATTATTATTATTATTATTATCATAGTAAATGAAATTGGGAACCAATTCTCGATGAATTTCAACTAAGACATATGAAATAAACCTTTAGCAAAGTCAAGTATTTTTTTTCAGAATTATTCTACAGATATAATTACTCTTCATGATGCAATAATGGTCTTCAATTTTGTTCTTGTTATTCAGTGAATCATTATATTCTTTTGTGTATGATTATAGCTTTTGTCATTGAATTTACTCATTCTGAAATTGATGTCATTGCTGAATTTAAAATTAGGGGGGGTTGATGTTATTTTTTAAATTGTATTCAGATAATGAGGAGTATGACCTATGTATGCCTTGGAAATAAATATTTTATTTTACAATGAACTGCTCTAATTATGGAAATCAAGAAAAGATATACAATATTGAGGCATTTACAAATAGCAGTGACTATGATATTATTAGCTATAATTTAAGCTAGTATTCTATAAACACTGTCACATATTTTAAAAATACTCTATGAAAGTAATTTTGAGGTGTTATTTTTACTTACAGTTTGTCATTCTAACTAAAATGCCTATCTGTTCCATGCCATTATTAGTCATAAGCTAAACAAACTCTGATGAGCTTATAAACTATAGTAGTGGTAAGGGCAGTACTAAAGTTGATAAGCCACTGATTTAATTTAAAACTGTTAGTTATTCGCTTTGATCATAGGTAAACATCTCTCCTCAAGTCAAATAGTTTATCAGTGATTTTTCAGTCACTAGCTCCTCAAACTATGTTTTTATATAAAACTGAAAAAATTCTCTAGTTTCATAAATCATGTCAGGTTGATATAGATAAAAATGTCAAGGTGGTTATAACCTTAAAAAATACTGTGATGTTATAAGAATTAAGAATTCTAAATATGCTTAATTCAAATTAGCATGAATGGATAATTTTTTTCTAGAAGGTAATAAAATACATCATTAATTAAAACATGGAATACATAAGCTAGATCTGTTTATTTACAATAAGACTCATAACCATACAAAAAAATGAATGAAATTTCATCTCTAAAAATAAAGATTTTCCAGACCCACCACTCAAAATATCTCATGGAATCTTGGGGTAACAGATGACTATCTGACCAATTAGTTCTTACTCACATGAATTATGTAAATCACTTTTCTTTAAAAGAAAATATTAACCAACTTTTCAAAAAAAAACCATACCAGACTAAATTTAATTCTGCCAATAATGATGTATTTCATTAGCACACTAAGAATGCTACATAAAGAATTATAACCACCTTTTAATTTACCTGCGGAACATATGCCATGTCTAACTTCAATGTATGGATAATCCTGAAACATCCTTTCACTATTATTTTCAACCCCATAAACGTTTTATAAGAAATGCCAAAACATAACCAAACTGACTAAAGGTTTCACCTTTCTTCCTTGCCTCTGCCCACCTGTTAGTAAACATTCTAAAGAGCTATTAAGGGACTGGAGGCACAATGATAAGCTAGTCGTCTGAATAACCCACAAGCTGGATCATTAGCTCCCGAATAATTGAGAGCTCTCTCTATATGCCACTATTTGCACAGCAAAAAAGAGGTTTCTACCTGAAAGAAGTACGACTGTAGAGGCTGATCCTTGTTTTCTTCATCTACGTACAATCCTCCTACAACATACACTTGATTTTGTTTGGTGACTATGCTGGAATGATTTCTGGGGATCTGCTCAGCCAGTGCAGCAAGGTAACATTCATTTTCTGTGGGGTCATAAGCCACTGCAGCTGTGTCATTAATCAAAAGAATGAGGTCTTTGACAAACATTCCATGCCTGGGAATGTCATTCAGGTATCCAGGAAGCAAATCTTCATCACCCACATCACCATTCACCTCACTGCCACTAGTCTTCTCTGCATTTTTGTTAGGCTCAGGGAGTTTTCCTGCAAAAGCATCTTTTAGAATTTTGATTTTTTTCTGTAGGTCAGGGTTGCTTTTAATTATATCATCCTTCTCAACATGATCTTTGAAATATTTTTCTGTCATAAGACGAAAACGGATACAATCAAATACTTCTCCAAGATTTTTTACCCTGTTTTCTTTGTCTGTTCGGACCCATTTCATTACTGCTTCAAACACTGCTTCTTCCTTTTCTACATTTAAGCCATCATTTGAAATAACTGAGATCAGTTCCTGTGGGGAAAGTTGCATAAAATCCTCTTCCTTGCAAATCTGTACAAAGCGGTCGGACACAAATTCACGAGCAGATAGCGCAAGTCTTGGGCAGTCAAGAAGAAGACCTAATCTCAGGATGGCTAGACAGTTACCAGGAGCAAGTCTTTTCTGAAGATAGGAAACGCAGACAGTGAACACTGAGGGGATCTGAAAACGGCTAGCCAAGGCAAAAATATCTTGCACATTTGTATCATTGAGATCAATACTGGCTGAATAAAGGTATTTGATAATTAAATCCAGGATAGCGGGGTCCACATTATCTAGTACTACCTCCTTTTTTTTCTGCTCATCAATTTCAGATAAGAAATACTCACGGAAATAAGGGCTACAAGCTGACAAAATCAGTCGGTGGCAAGGAAGACTTTTGTCCCCTGCTTTCAGGGTGCAATCGATGAATTTTTTCTCATCCAGGAGATCTTTTAGACCATCCTGAAGAAGGGTGGATTGGTAAAGCCGCAGTTCCTCTGCGAGTTCCCGCTGGGAATCCATTTTGTGAGTGACCTGGGTGAGGAAGGGGAAACTGAAGGCCTCAGCTCCGTGCAGCACACGGAATTGGTCTAGCTGTAAAAAAGGCAGATCAATGTGCTTTGCTTAGCTTGAAGCCGTTGCAATTTAATCCTGCTAGTAGCTAAATATAGATACCCACTCTCGCAACTGGAATTTAGGATGGCTAGTTTAGAAAGAAGTTTCTTGCAGCTGTTATAGATTGAAAGAAGCAACTGGAACTTTTTGTTACTAAGGAAACAGCCATGAAACAAGACCTTTAAATTAAGTGGAAGGACAAAGCATATAAAGTATTAGCAAATAGGTGAATGAGGATAAAAGAGAAAAAACTCTCTACATACAATGAGAGAATTATAAAAATGAGTCATTCTTCAAAAACATGTTGACCAGGAAAACAGGCCCTCTGAATTAATGATGCCTCAGTCATAGGAGGATGAGATATGTCTGTATCAGTCAGCTACTTTAAACTTTGATCTTATATAGTCTTAGAAATAAAGTAACATGAAGAAATATTTCATAACAATTTTCCCACAAGTTTTTAGGTAAAACAGGAAAGAATTTTTTCTTCAAAAGAAAGGAAATTATGATTCTTTAAGTATGATTTTAAAATTAATGCTTAAAATATAAATAAAATAAAAAATGCTTTAAAGACCCAACAGCATTATAATCCAAATAATGGAGAGATATCACTGATCTCTTTTCTCCTGTGACATTCTGAATTATCTTTAATCTTAAATGGAAAATTTGTAAGAAGTAAGAATAATCAAATAGTTTACAAATATTGAAAATGTTTTTATAAAATATTAAAAAGATAAAAGCATTTCATTCATGGACATTGCAAAAACTTTATATTCATTTGAAGATTGTACAAAATTACAGTCATGATCACATATACAATTTGAAAAATCATTTTTCTGAAGCAAACATAACAATTTTGGGAAAATGTATGAAACTATAAATGATTTAGTTTTTTTACTGCTACAAGGTTAAAACATTTTAAATAGCAGAGCTCAATTTATATAGCAATTATGAAAATGTTTTGACTTTCTATATGTGCTGCATGATTGGATTTTCTAGGCTTTCTGAAATTGGTTATGCTTTACAAATACTGTAATTTCAAATTCTGTTTGAATTCCTCCAAACACACCACAAACCACTGAATCAAAAGTTTCTAAACTTTAAGTCCTCCACAAATGGATAACAGTTTTCTTCAATTTTACATCATAATGAAGTCCATAGTGCTGTCAGCTGCTAAAACAACAGCTGAAAGGAGAGCTCATTGACTCTTTTCCATTTATAGACACTGCTGAAGGTTTTAACTCACTAGAAAACATATAACAGCTGCTTACTCCTCCCTCCCTTTAAACAATAAATGAGTCATTTCTTGAGTCATGATAACACCTAACATTTGAAAGGTCTTAATGAGTCAGATGAAAATCTTATGATGTGATCCATTTGAGATTAGACCTTAAAACTCAGCAGTTTTTATAGTAGCTTCTTCTTTGTGCATGACATGTAACAAATGCAATTCAATGACTAAATTGACATTACTTTTTACACTGTAGCAGTGAAAAAGTTTTACACAATTTAGTAAAAATAAAACAAAACACAGTTGTAGGCAATTTTCACAACAGTACCTCTCTTCAAATTGATATTATTTCCAATAAATATATAATTCTGAACCTAAGTTGCTTTCTTAATCCTCTGTCAAGCTTGAAGTATAGCTAGCACAAGTTTCTATCATTAAATGTGCAACTAACTGGGAATTGAAAGTTACCCTTAAACTATAATAAACATAAACAAGAATGTCAGAAAATCATTGTAGCAATAAGACAGCAAAACAAATATTTTATTTCAAAAAAGCATTAAACAAAATGTCTATTAATAAAATAATTTCCTAAATAGTACTCAAAATTTAGAGTGGAGACTGATTTACATCAAGTTCCAGAATTTTTAAATTTACTTTTATGAAAAAAAAATAAAATAAAAGATCCCCAAATTAGGGAGTAAAAATGGTACTAATTAATATTCAAGAAGTTTATACTTGAAACAGTGCAGCAACACAATTAAACCTGGTTGAAAAGGGCCATAGAGATCATTGTCACCCCTTCTGTTAGCAGATGAACAAACTGAAGCCCCTGGAGGTAAAGGTACTTGCTCACACAGGTACTAAGGAGCAGAGCTGAGATTCCAAGGCAGATTCTCTTACCCCAAGTAAGTGCTCTTACCACTACAGCACACAATTTATCTTACCCTACCTAAGTTCAGAAAAGTTCATCTCAGATTCAGCATTCCTGTCCTGTTTTCCTAAATAATACTTGCAAAACACTAAAAAGTGCTATGCAAATACTCTTTATTAAACACAATCATATACAGTCATTTTATGTCAGCAAATTTATTAATGTACAAGATTAAGATGATATGTATAGCAAATAAATTCAACAAACTAAATCCAATTCTGTTACAATTTTAGGATAGATAAGGCAACTGGCAATAACATTTTAGATAAATGCATTTTTTCTTAAATTCTTTAAAGTTATTACTTTATATACGACTATTCAATATGTTATACCAGACCACTAGTATCTTCAATCTTAAAGTATCTTTAAATAGAAATCCAGCTCAAATCAAGGTCAACTCATTACTTCCCAAAGTCCCTGCAGGGTGAATCCATCCTTCAATTTTTCTATTGCAAGCCCCAGTTCTTCTGAAAATACAGGTTCCCGATCTTGTTGCTTTTTGATAGTTAAGATGAGAAAAGAGCGTAGGCAAGGAAGAGGAATACACAAAAGATTGTACATAAGTTTATGAATACTAAATGATAATACATAATTTTTATAATAAGGTAAATAGCCTTACCTTATTGCCATCAGCAAAATAAGCCTATGAGAAAAAGAAATCTATTAAATTTCACATATCTAACAGATTATCAAGACTACATGGGGTCAGTGGTCTAACAAGCAATTTTCAGACTGAGTCTATAACTAAATGAATTTTACATTTTCTCCCTATAACATATGTTTTCTCTTCTTGAGATTTGTTGTAAGAGAATTTATCTAATTCATATAAATATTTTACATAAGCTATAAAACTATTTTTCTGTAAGCTTTAAACACTAAATATATGGCATAATTACTACTCCATTAAGGTCCTACTCTGCTGCCTCCTTGAGGTATAAGTTTTCAAAGGCTATGTCAATGTATCAAAAGCTCTGGCAGGTCTTTCCAGGCCAGGAAGATATCAAGTATGGGCCAGATGATTAATCTATCCAAGGGCCAGACTAACAAAGTTTAGGAAGCCATATCACAAGGGAGGGTTGATAACGAATTGAGGAGGGTTTTTTTTGTTTGTTTTATTTTTAGCCACAGCAACTTATTAAACCATTCACTCAAGTAGGGCTCTGATCTGTGTTAGTAGAGCAAACACATCCAAATGTGTGTGCTGAATTAACTATTATTAGTACTATTTTCTTTCTTTTTAAATAGATAAAATGAGTTAACTTACAACTTATCAGTTTCAACCTAGGTTGGCAAAAATCCTTAATGTGATCTATCAGAAAATATTTTCTCTGGATATGATTTGGCATAGCAACATGTTAATAATTAAATTGGTCCTAGACTTTTTACACGTCTGCTTCAAAATTTTTCTGCCCTACTTACCACCTATCAGTGAAATATTCTGGTCAAGTTAATTTTTTAAAACCACCTTCCCTCCTTAGATATTTAATTTTATTTAACTTAATTTAATTTACTTTTTTCAGTCAAAGACAAGGTTTATTAGAACATCCATCATATTGGGCAGACTCTTAAGGAGTCTGAGCATTAGTGAGCTATTGGCTAGATTATAAGAATCTGAGCATCTTAATGGAGATAAGATGGACCTTATATGCAGAAAGACTCTGGGAGGAATCTAGGAGTGGTCAAGTAGTCTATGAGGTAATAGAACTCCAGGGACCTGGACCACATGGCCAAGGGAGAATGGAGTCTAGATAGGATTAAGGGTGAGAAGTGGTTGGGGGCCATAGTGAGGTAAGACAATGGAGGGCCAAGCTAGGTAGGCTAAGAGTAACAGAGATTGGGCATAACCTCAATGAAAGGCCAGTGGATGGGATTACAGCTTCAGGGGAACACCAGAGATTTGGCCATATGGAAAAGTCCAGGGTTTTCCTTTTTAGGGTCTAGATCCCATCCTCATCATTACCCCCTCAAACAAATGGGACCCAAATTCTTTTGGGGTAATGGGCGAATGTTTTGGCTTCTGAAACTGCTTCCTGCTGGAAAAAGGCATAGAGCTGTCCCTGCCTCAAGGGGGTCCCAAAGAGGAGGTTGACTGGTACCAAGCACAGGCTGCATCCAGGGAATGATGGGGGGACATTTAGATATTTAATTTTAGCAGTGTTTATTAGAGTTTCCTGTAGTAGTAACACAGAGAGGGCATTTCTCAATTTTTTTTGACCAAACAATACCAGTTTAAAAACTGCACATTCTTTATTTCCAAACAGGATATGCCTATGAAATTAACAGGGAATAATCAAAAGAAGACAGAAAAATGAATCTCTGCAAAGGTTTTTAATTCACCAGAGAAAGAATTCACAAATAAGAAATGTGTGTTAATTATTGTTTTTGGGTGAATGGCACTGTAAATGAGACAATGAAATATACAATTTTAGAATAAACGTGATCTTTAATATCCTCTAATAGTCCAAAGCCTGAAGAAACTTTTTACTTGTCTGAATTTATCTGAATGACTATACTTCCACTTTAAAAACTTGATATTCTTAGACTAGAAGACAATACACATATCCTTTGATCCTATACCTAAAAATTGTGTTCTCAAGTGTCCCAAGTTCTAGAGTATTTTATTGACTCGTACTTTATTTAATTAGTTAAATTAAAGAGCTGAAAAATTACAGTAATTCAATGGATTTCTTTGAGGATGCTTACCACAAAAGCATCAGTGTGTTCATCAGATTCTATTTCCACATCATCTTGAATTTGTTCAACTGTCAGATCTTCAAGAGGTTGAGGCTGTAAAACAAGACACTTAAGTAAATTAGGCTGCACAGAAAAGTAAGCTGATAAGGCATATCAAAGTTGTAACAACAATTTAACAACTTTCATTGGGAAAATGTAATTTGAGAATTTTCTTCAATAACAATAACTACTATTGTTTTACAAAAATCTCCTATTTGAGTTACATTCTTCTATTAAAAAATCATTTTAATTATAAATCAATTTGAATATTAAAAATCATTTATATGAAATTTAGGTTTCAAAAATAAATTAGGTCAACATCAAATGACAAATACGACACATATGGCAAATACTACATTTAGAGAAACTTTAAAGACAACAGTAAATGTATTTTTGTGATAATTTTCTCACATAATTGTTTTGGACAGTATGAAGTTTTAATTTTCTCTCAGAGTAGTAATTAAATAGAATCTATATTTTTGAAATAACAAAAAAAAGATTATGGGGGTTATGATTTACAGCACTGACACAATGCTACACTATGTGCTTGATAAATATTTGTTGAATGAATTTTAAAGCAGAGACCAGATTATTATTTATTATTTCATTCAGAAAGTATTGTTGAGCACCTGTGATGTGCATGATACTGTGTGGGTTACAAAAATGTATTCTGCAGTTCCTGCCTTAAAGGAACTTAACAATCTAATAGAAAAGATAAAAATTGTACAGAAATAATTATAAGGCAACAAACAAATAATTATAATACAAGGAGAAGAAAGTACTAAGAGCCACAGGATTCAAAGTGGAAGGTTACCAATCATTTTCAGATATGATGAGGTAGCACTTAAGCTATGCCTAGAATGACTTTGAGGGGTAAAGACTGGTTCGGGGATATTCCAGGTGGAAGAATGGCTTGGGCCACGACAAAGACAAACAAGTTATGCTTTAAGAATGGCAAGTAATGCACTTTGGTAGGATTTTGTTGGGCTATAAGATTTATGTGATAGGTTTGCACTATGTAAGGTTAGAAAAGCAAGTTGGAACTATACTGCCTAGGACCTTAAATACCAGGCTATGGGTTTTGTACTTTATTTAATGAACAGGGGAGAATTAATGACAGCTTTAAAATAGGGAAATTATATGAACAAAATAGTGCTTTAGGAGGAATCTGGAAGTAATGTTGGATGGCCAAGACAGCGGAAAATCTATAAGGAGAACGGACATTGCAAGAATTCAAATGTGAGAAATAAGGGCCTAAAATTGGGGATGACAATAGAAATAGAAAGGAAGGTACAGATTTGAGAGATACATGAAGGCAAAATTGTTAGGGCCTGGTGACTAGATAAGAGGTTAGGAATGAGGAAAGGGAAGAGGACAATGAGGTCATACATATGAGTCCCTAGGAGAACGGAGAGTTACAATTAACAGAAATAAGAAAATGAGGAGGAGGAGCTAGTCTGAAGTTAAAAAGAAGAATTTAGTTTTAGATATGTTTTGAGATGTTGGTGGAAAAGTCCTATGTGTGATTAGAAATGGGGGAATGGTGCCCAGGTGACTGGTCAAGGATAAAGATTTGAGACTTGTCCATCTAGCGGTGATACTGAAGTTTCAAGTCAGATCACTAAGGAAGCCTGTATAGAGGAGTGGGCTATACTTGGGAAGTAGAAGAAAGAGTAGGAACAATCAAGGGAAATGGAGATAAATTGGTCAGAGATGTAAGAGGAGAAGCAGAACAGACCAGTGACATAGAAACCAAAGGATAAGAAGGTGTTTGGTTTTTTTTTTGGTTTTGTTTTGGTTTTTTTTTTGTGAGGCAATTGGGGTTAAGTGACTTGGCCAGGGTCACACAGCTAGTGAGTTATGTGTCCGAGGCCAGATTTGAACTCAGGTCCTCCTGACTCCAGGGCCAGCGCTCTATCTACTGTGCCACCTAGCTGTCCCAAGATTTTTTTTTTAAAAGCACTTTGTACTTCTGTCATTGCATATATCACATTTTTTTTTTTACAATGAACTGTGGCTGTTTATGTCATCTTCCCTTTGAAATTTTAAGTTCTTTCAGAACTTAAGTTCAATATCATTCATTTTTATAACTGACAATGCCTAGAACAAAGAAGATGCTCAATAAAAGTTTGCTGAATGAATGAACAAAAGGAAGAGGTAGCTCAACATTATTGAATGCTGCAGAGAATCAAGAAGAATGCAGCCTAACAATAAAGACAAATGGATTTGGCAACTGGAAAGACCCTGGGAATCTTTGAGAGAAATTTCAGTGGAGTGGTGGGGAGAGAAGTCAGATCACAGAGGGTTAATATATGAGTGATTTTTTTTGTGTGTTTAGTGAGAAAGTAGAAGAAGCAGGGGAAAGACTTCTCTTGAGAAGTCCAGAAGTAAAAAAGAGAGATAAAAATGATAGCATCAGTAAGTGTCATGGCTGAGTAAAGGTGTGCTTTTATGTTTTAAAGAGGGGAGAAGTGTTCTCTATTGGCAGAAAGCTTGAACTAGTGGAACAGAAGTGTGAAGAAATAAGAAAGAAAAGAATTTAGGAAGCGAGACTTGGAGGAAGTGGCAAGAAGTAGAACCAAGAGCACATTTAGTTACGTTTAGAATAGAAGGACTACCTCTTCAACTTAGGAGGGAAGGAGATGATGAATGGACACACAGAAATCTAAGGGGAAGAGAAAGAAAAAGAAATGAAGGAATTAGCACTGTATGGCTTCCATATTTACAGTAGAGGGCACAATCACCTGTTGCAAGTAAGGGAGACAAACAGGGGATTCAGAGATTTAGGAGCATGGAAAAAGTTTGCAAATGTATAGAATCTGAGGGAAAGTCAAGACATGAATTTAAAATGTTGCTGTTTAGCAGCGAGGGCCCAGAATCATAGACTATTAGAAGAGAAAAAGCTGCTGGAGATCAAGTACAACTCGCTCATGTTAGAGATGAGGCAGCTGAGATCCCAGGGATGTGAAATTACTTGCTGATAGCTGCACAGTAAGTTTGAAGAGTTGGATCAGAACCTAGTGTTTGGCTCTCAAGCCAGCTCTCCTGGCACTGGACACACTTCCCCTGCATCAGAAAGAGTGGATTTGTGGTCAACCTGGCCAATATAGCTTCTTAAATTCCAGCCATGTTCAGCAGCTAGAGAGAAGTAGAGAAAATTGAAGGAATGATGGGTGATACAATGTTAAGAATTTCCACATTAAGTATGAAAGAAGGAAGAAAACAAGAATGTATTAAATGTTTACTGTGTGCCAGGAACTGTGTTACAGGCTATATAGATATTATATTAGGAGGTAGGTACCCTTACTATTCTCATTTAACAGTTGAAGAAACTAAGGCAGACACAGGTTAAGTAACTTGTCCAGAGTCACACATCTAGTGAGTGTTATGTGGATCAAAGAACAGAGGTCACGATGGAAATCTCTATGTATGGGTCTGAGCTAGGCATAGAGGTAAGTAAAACTAGGAAAGAGCTAGTAAACTTAGGAAATAGAGGAGCATCAAGGGACTAGAGTTTAGGATGAAGGTAGAGAGAAGGTTTAATAGGGATAGGGAATGGGAAGTGAAAGATAATGAAGGTGTAATCTGAGGAGACTCCTGGGTTTGAGATCTTTGCAGCAGAGTAGTTCTCTCTAATGAGGAGACTGAATATGTAGTCCTGCTGATGGATGGCTTAAGTAGAACAGAGATGAAGATTTATTAAATAAGGAGACTGTGAGGTGACTGTATCAGTTGGGTTATCTATATGGATGATGAAATTATGGAGGAGGATGTCAAGGGGCCAGAGAGAAAGCTTGACAGTTGCTAAAGTTACTTAGGAAGATAACAGAGTATCTTGGAAGTCACTTGATAATTGTTATTAGAAAAAGGATGAGGATAGGTATAGTTATAATAAATAGATTCCGAAAGAGGAAAACTTGTTGATCAATGACAGGTTATACAAACAATGGTTTGGAAATGGTATCAGGCTGACCTCCCCTTCTCTTACAGTAATACAGGGAAAGTGTCAAAAGAAATAACCTTCATTGGAGAGGCCTGTGGTGTAAGAACCAACTTCCAGTTAAGACAGAGGCAGAGGGGACACTGTCCCACAATAGAACTGGCATTACACCAGGTATAATGGAAGAGACCAGAGTGAAGGATGGGTAGGCAACAATTAGGATTGGAATGGAGTACAGCTGAACTGGATAGAAATGACAGTACAGGAAGGGATAAAAGTGAAGGAGGGATTTTTGCTTAGTGTATAGATAGCAGGGATAAAAGAATCAGAGGGTTGGCAAGATGCATGTGTCAGTAGTAGAATAAAAGTGCTAGGCAGACAGAGTTGATGAATTATTCATCATTTTAAAACAGCTAAAATAAAATTTTTGTACTCAATGTTCTGATGTTATCCATGCTTTTGAATATAATAACCTTATATAACAATATGACAAATTGATTACTTAGTAAGCTGAAGAAATTACCTTTTCTTCCATCTCATAATCCACCCCAAATATAGGACTGGCAGAATAGACTCTGTGAAGTGAATTTATTTCCTTTACTGACTCCTGTAGTTTCTCCACAGGATCTATTTTGAAACCAAGAACATATCCTCCACTCTACAAGAAATAATAATTTTAAAAGAGCCTGAAGAAATATTTCTATCACATAAGAAATTATAAAGCTTTAATGTCCTTTATCTTCAGAGAACAATCTCCATACCAGGCCACCTCCAACCCTGGCTTCCTCATGCTCTTTTCCCCCACCAGAACTCAGAGCCCCCCTGGGACCCTGTGCTCTGACTGGTAAGTTTTCTCCTTTTCTTTTTTAGTCTCAGGACCATTCCTTTGGTCAGCTCCAAGCCATGCCCCCATGTGAGCATCTCCCACCTCCCCTTCCAACTCTAGCTCCCCACATATGTTATCTTCTACTAGAATAGAAGCTCCTTGAGGGTAGGGACTATTTTTACTTCCTTGTATTTGTATCTCCAGCACTTAGCACAGAGCCTGGTACACTGTAAGCACTTAAAAACACTTTAAAAATTTTCCATTGATTTAGTTATTATAATGCATAGCAGATTGTAATAGTCAAGGGAACCAACTTTTCATTGAGTTATTTCTTAGGAATTATCATAGACTTTTAAAAGGAGACAGGTATTAGCTTTGCCTGACATTAATTCTTCAAAGTGATATAAGATACTTGGCTATGACAGATCATTGGAAGAAATGGTCTAATATCTCCTGCTAGAGCTAGAAAAACTTAAAGTAGAGGAATGGGTAGACATTCAGGTTTTGGGACTCAATTTAGAAAGGAAATACAGGGAGGGGTGTGTATGTGTATGTGTGTTTGTGTGTATGTGTGATTTCCTAAGTCATTTCAGTCATGTCTGACTATTTGTGACCCCATTTGGGGTTTTCTTGGCAAAAATACTGGAGTACTCGTCTTTTCCTTCTCTAGTTCAGGGGTGGGGAACCTGTGGCCTCGAGGTCACATGTAGTCCTCTAGTCCTCAAGTGAGGCCCTTTGACTGAATCCAAACTTCATAGAATAAATCCTTTTATTAGGGGTCTGAGTTAATGTCTGAGGATCAATTTGAACTCAAGATGAGTCTTCCTGACTCCAGGCACTCAATGCACTGCGCCACCTAGCTGCCCAAATAATTATTTTACTTTAATGGATCACTACCAGAAGTTGGGATAAATAAGGCATAAAAGTTTGTACAATAAGACATAATAAAATCCTTTTAAATGACACCTAAGGAAAAAAAAAGATCTACCCACATATTTTCTTAACCTACCAAGTATTATTGTTTTTTTGGGAACATCTAAATAAGACTTCAGTCCTCCTATGTAACTTTACACATATAGATAATCCCTTCCTTACTTGAGCTCCCCATTGGTGACTAATATCATATATTATTAATAAGCCCTCAGACCTAGGCTGTCACACAGATCTTGTACTTATTAAACACAATGTTAAAAACATTAAATATCTTACCTGTTGAGAGCTCTCTATAACAAGTGCTAAACCAAACTTTGAATCTCTGACCTTTATAGAACGCTAGTTATAAAATGAAAAAGAAACAAAAATGTATTTTTGATTATTTGGTGATAAATACTATTTAACATTTATTATGCACTCATACTATTAACGTTTTAATCCCATAATTCCATTTTTCATGGTAAATGATAACTACAACATGATAAATACAATAAATGCAGCATGATAAATACAACTACCAACATCTAACTGATAAAAAAATTTCTCCCTGTATTATTTCACCATGGAAATCAATTAACACAGCAATATCAATGATGAAACAGAATTTTCAAATGAAGAAATTCAGTAAAAGGTATCAACCACAAAAATGTACAATTTCCTAAAAATGTTTCTGACTCTGCATCATGCATCAGTACTAGGCAACTTAAAAAAATGAATCAAGGCCCACTGATCTGTTAGCTTTCGAGGACCATTCTCTTTTGTGGCTATTTTGGCAGAAGTAGTTCAAATGGATATGTGATTCCTCCTCTGCACTTAACAAACCCCTCTTGTAATCTGAAGGATGCTTAGCATGTTTCCCTAAAGGAAGAAGGGACTTAGGGGATCATAATTGTTACTTCAAACATGTAAAAGGCTGTCACGTGGTGTTAGATTATAAATGACTCTAGATGACAGATCTAAAGCAAATGAATGGAGGTACAGGGAGGCAGATCATATTGTTTTCTTTTGTTTCCCAACCTAGCACAGTACCTACCATATAGTAAGTTTAATAAATGCTTTATTTCTCCAACTATGTTCCTCTGATCAATGCAGATGAAAGTGAGATTCAAGTACTCTCAGTCTCTTCCTCCCCTCTTATTTCCCCATCCCTTCCTCTGTTTCTTACCCCTTTCTTCCCCAGTATATTCCTTTGTCCCTCTCTTTCCTTTCTTGTTAAGATTATTAAAACATAATAAAACCACTCCTAGTCTCTGTCATACTTAACTCTCTCTATAACCCCTGATGATATTAAGGTTCTGAGGAGACACCTGTATTATTCCCTCCCCCCCACAGAAGGAAAATACTGGTTTGTATTTACGGTTTTATATTTTTCTCGACTCCTGTGTTTGCATTACAAGGTTTTTACTCAATTCTAGTTTTTGCATCAGGAATGACTGGAAGTCTGTTACTTCGTTAGAAGCCCATTCCAACTCTACTTTACCCTCTCCCCTTCCCCACACCATATTTTTTCTATGCTCAGTTTTGTCAGGTTGGGTATTCTTTATATGGAAAGATATTAAAAACCTTTTTGGTAAAACAGAAAATATTAAGAAATAATGTTTTCTCCAGCCTAAAACCCCTTTCAGGAAATTGGGTAGGACAAAAAGCTAAGAACTTTCTTAGGGAAATAATAACCTCTTACCTTAATTCATGGGACTATTATCCATCTAAAAGTAGTCTTTAGTTTCCCTTCCCCTGAAGTTATCTGGGCTAAAACACAGCCTTCTCCATAGAGAAAGGCTATTGATATCATCTCTGGGTGCAGTCCCATTGATTCTTTGAGGGAAATTGTCCAAAAAAGAATGGGATGGTGTTTTTGTTACTGAACTATTTTCTGAGACATTAACACCTAGCTGTATTTTAACATATAGTGAGCTTCCTTTGTTCAAAATTCCTATAAATGTCAACTAAAATTTTCTTGGAGCAAAGAGCCTTGTCAGAGGTCATGAGGGACCTATGCTAATTTGCTTACCTTTCTCTAAGTCAGAAAATGCTTGGATATTAGATTACTGTTAAATAAAATTGCTTCCTAAAACAATTGTACCTAAAACACAGAGTACACTATTTTTTTCTTTGATACCTGGTCATGAGCTTAGATCTTTTAATTTTTAGGACATTAGATTCTAAGCTCTCCGCTCCTTAAAAGTGGTGGCTGCTAAATGTGTGATCCTGTCTCTGGTTCCCTGGGATTTGAAATCTTTCTAGCTACTTGTAATATTTTTCCTTTCTAGACCTGGAAGCTCTGGATTTTGACTATTTTGTTCCTGAAAATTTTAAATTTAGAGTTTCTTTCAGGGGGATGACTGGTTGCTTCTTTACTTTCACTCTGACCTTTGGGTTCTAATAGATGTAGGAAGTTTTCTTTCATGATTTCTTAAAACAGGATATCTAGACTCTTTTTTGGGGGGGGAGGGGTCATGGCTTTTATGTAGTGCAATGATTCTTTAATATTTCTTCTTGATCTGTTTTTCAGGTCACTTGTTTTTGATATAAGATACCTGACATTTTCTTCTGTATTTTCAATTTTTTGATTTTGTTTTTAATATTTCTTATTGTTTCAAAGAGTCATTAACTTCTGTTTGGTCTATTTTTCAGTGAAGAAGGTTTTGTACTTCTTGTACTCAGTTGTTAAGTCTTCTTCCCTGTCCTTCAAAACTCTCATTTCTTTTTCAATTTTTTTCCTCTAGCACTCTCATTTCATTTATAAAATCATTTGTTAACACTTGCTTCATACCTTCCAGGAATTTAGTTGACTTTATGTCCACACTGTGTTCTCCTTTGAGGTTCTGAGTCATCCACTTCTATGTTTGTGTTTTGGATATCCCTGATACCAGAAGGGCTCTTCATTGAGGGAATCTTTTCATTATTTAATCATTCTTCTAGCCTTACTTTTCAAACTGAAACTTTTTGTAGGGCCAGACTCAGCACACTTGTGGAGGGAATTTCTGGGACTTATTTGGTCCTAATGTAATCTTTGGGGTCTTACTGCTACTTTCTCTGGATACTAAATGGTACATTCTCATAGGGTCTTGGGACCACTCAGTATAGGAACCTGAAAGTTTTCTGTGGGCCCAAAGCAGTCTGATTTAGGGAGAAGCATGATCATTGCCCTCTTGGTCTAGAAGATATGCAAGCTTGGTTGGGATTAGATCACACAACTGTAGGCTTGGTTAGAGCACCAGTGACTGCAACTGAACCAAGACCCTGTAAGCTAGCTGGAGGGCTCCACAGTTTCAGAGGGACAGAACTTCAGGCTTCCCCTAGATCTGAGCTCCCTACCTGGTTCAATCAGTTGTGGGTAGGAGTTGTTAGCTGAATTCAAGACCCTGCTCTGGGGACAGAGTCACACAGCTACTCTTTGCTTCTGTTTAGCCTCAGGCAAGAGACCTGGCAGTGATCTGGTACCAGCAGCAGGTCAGCAGCATATAGGCTCTGGTTATCTCCTCAGTCTACATTCAATTGCTACCCAGTTCTGGAAATCAGAGTGACAGAATTGCCAGGTGATTCTGTCTCTATTTTATTTGAGACTACTTCCTGCTCTAGGTATACATCTGTAGGTTCCAGTTCAGTCCCTTGGCTGGAAGACTATGTCCAGTACCTTTCTGGCTGGACCAGTCCCTAGTGCCTGTAGACCTGGGCTGGAAAAATGACTGTGCTTTCTCATTGGATTTCCTAATTACTACTTAGTCTGATGCTTTTTCTAAGTCTTTGTTGCAGTAATTGTGATGAAGAGCTGAGCTGTACTGCCGTCTCTTACTCTATCATCTTTGCTAGTTTTGAGTATCAATCTTAAAGAGCTCATCTCTAACCTAAAGTTACTTTGGGGAAGATGGTCAACAAGCATTTTTTTAATACCTATTATGTGCCAAGTAGTGTGCTAAGTGGTGGGGATACAAAGAAAGACAAAAAGCAGTCCTATTCTCAAAGAGTTCACAGACTAATGGGGTAGATAACATGCAAACATCTATGTAAAATCTAAATATATACAAGATAAATAATCAAGCACTGCCATTAAGGAGGAGAGGCTTCTTGTTGAAAGTAGGATTTTTGTTAAGACTTAGAAGGAAATCAGGAGATTGAGGTGAGAAGGAAGAGAATTCTAGTAATGGGAGACAGTCAGTGAAAATGCAAGGAATTGAGAGATAGAGTGTGTTCAGTGACAGACAGCAGGAAAGTGAGTGTCACTAGACTGCAGAGTACCTGGGGTTGAATAAGGCACAAAAAGACTGGAAAGACAGGAGGAGGCCAGGTTAAGAAGGGTTTTGAACCCAGAGGATTTTATATTTGATACTGAAAGCAATAGGGAGCTATTGGAATTAAATGAATCAGGGAGGGGTGATATGGTCAGATCTATTTTTTAGAAGATCAGTTTGACAGCTGTGCAGAGGACAGAGTAGAAAGGGGAGACATTTGAGGCAGGGAGAACGAAGGCTACTGTAATAATCGAGGCTATTTGTGATAATGGCCTGAAACAAGGTGGTGGCAGAGTCAAAAGAGAGAAGGGAGTATATATGAGAGGCAGTGGTATGCAAGTAATTGCGTGTGCTGCTACACATTAACTATGCATGTCATGGACTTATATTACCCTATAAGGAACTTGTGGGAATACTTCTGATAACCTAAATACCCTGCATGAAGTCCAAGAAAGGCCCACTTTATAGTTTCTCTTCACGGAAAGTAGGAGTATTTGAAAGTTTCAATGTACTTTACTTTTCCTAGAATGCTAATTGATAATGGCATACTATTCTATGTATTTAATTGGATATTTTCTTATGTTGAAAAAGCCAATCATGACCATTTTTATCATAATTAACTAGGCATTCTGAAATGAAAACTGCTACTACTTTAACAAATAAAAAAAGAAATAGTGAACTAGTCTAAAACAAACCATAAAATCCTTTTTGGATTTTATAATTATATATTAGTATTTATAAAATACTAAAAGGAAATAAAAAATTTTAAGTTATATTAAAATAAGGCCATCAAAGTATGTGTACTTACAATTTGCAGATATGGTATACTGACATTGAAACTGTCATTCATATTTGCATGCCAAACAATTCTCACGTTAGTAATAAAAAAGGTTCCCAAATTTCCCTATGAAAACAATTTAAGGTATGCATTGATTAGAATCCATAGGCTGTCTTATTATTGAAAAAAATTCTGCATTATGCTAAATAGTTCTGTAAACAATGCCTAAATTAAACTTTATAGCCACCAACATCACAACTTTCTTACTCAGGTCTTAGGATGTCAGAAAATTTATGGCAAGGTAAGAGAGAAAAATATAAGAGACAACCTCTCAGAGTCCACCAGGGAGATTTATGGCTCTTGCCACCATAAACTGGAACATGCAGTTCTTTCCCAGGTAACCATGACTACCCAAAAACTTCTAAAATTCTCAGGTTTGATAGTCTAAAACTCTTAAAAGTAAATAAAAAAAAAACAACAACCCAGTGCTTAAAAACAAATATTTGTATAGCACCTTAAAATTTGTACTTATGTAAAATGCTTTGCATTTTTTTTTGAGGCAATTGGGGTTAAATGAGTTGCCCAGGTTCTTTCTCTCTCTTTCTCTCTTTCACACACACACACAGACACACACGTGTCTGAGGCTGCAACTGAACTCAGGTCCTCCTGCCTCCAGGGTGGGTGCTCTATCCACTGGGCCGCCTAGCTGCCCCTACAAGGCACTTTAGTTCTCATTTTAAACTTCATAATCACTCAATGAGGTAGGTTCCACAGGTTTTTTATTTTTATCTCCATTTCACAAATGAGGAAAGTGAGGCTCAGAGCATTTAAGCAACTTGCCCAAAGTCATCCTGCTAGTAAGGCTGGGAGGCAAGACTTGAAACCAGATTTTCCCGACTCTAAGTCCTGAACTGAATCGCCTATAATAAAATTACTCGCTACATACTGGCTTTCAAAAAAAAAAACGTGTACGATGATTTGTGTTTGGGTACACCATTTCAAGTCTCAAAACAACAACAGCAACTAAAGAGGCATCTTATGGATGACCAGATACAAGACACATAGCACAGTTCCCAAAGTCATATTGGCACCTACAGAAGATTATGTTCAACACTGACAGTAATTAGCCTGAAGTCATTATTATTTCAATCCATTTTTATATGGAACATTTCTTAAAAGAGTATTACATATTTCTTTATTTCTCACTCAGAAAAAAAGTATTTGTGATAAACCTAAAGACTTGTTGAAACAAAGGGAAAACATTTTTGTTTTGTTTAAATTCAACTTAATCTGACAAACACTTATTAAGCACCTACTGTGTACAAGGTATTGTGTGAGGTGCTGGAGATACAAAGAGAAAAACAAGTTTCTGATTCCAAGGAGCTTACATTCTATGGGGAGGGGTCATATACATAGATATATTATAATGGATGGAAGAGAGGGATGGGGCAAGAAGGGTTCAGACAGGATGCTCTAGGAAATTGTCATTAATAGGTGATGCTAACAAGAGTATAATACATTACAATAGATGTAAATACATTTATCCTCTTCCATATATTCTAAATTTTGCAGGTAAGGGATGTTCAGAATAAACAGAATCAGAATGTTAGTATGTAATAAGTGCTATAGCACTGATATTTTTAACAGTGTGCCAAGGAAAGGACACATTCTATTTTCAAGATGTTTGGAGTCATTAAAAGATTTTGCAATTTCCCAAAGACAATACAATTTGTTCTCTTCTTCTTCAGTTCTGGGCCCAATTCACTGTCCATTTGCAGTGTCTGATCAAGATACACACATGCATATGATAGATGGACATGCTGTACAGGCTGTCCATCCAACTGCATCTTATGATTTGGATAATAAATCACCTTCATCTGCTTGGTTTTTCAAATGTGAATAGTTAGACCAAACTCTTGATACTTATGAATCTCTGCAATGTTCTGGGATTTGACGTAATCAACCCAGTATCACCTGTAAATTGGAGCATCCAGAGGACAATACTATCTATATGGAATTCCTCAAATTGTGCTGGAGCTCTTCCACCACAGCGGCAAACACTTTTGGCTGGCATGAGTCTCCCTATTTTACGCTTCACCTAATATTAATGATTATAGGTTATCAAATAAGTTTATCTCTGTTGTTAAATCTTTCAAGGAGGCTTATATAATTTTAACATATATATGGGAAACAGTTTTTAATACTAATATTATTCTAGTGTTCTTTCACAGTCATGAGACAATAGTCTCCAAAGAATTGAAAAAGTCTATCACCCAAAGGGCAACGAAAAGGGTTGAGGTGAATGTGAACAAGCTGAAACGTATCACCAACAAGGAATTAGGAAAAGAAGCAGAATGAAGGATGTCATCAAAGAAATGCCCAAGAAAAAGAGGCTGGGCTAGTCACATGGAAACAGTGAAGTAAAACAGATGGAGAGCGGTGGTACCCTTCCAATGTCAAGAGAAATCAAGGAAGGCTCATGGCAAATTAGGTAGACCCCTTGTAGGAAACTTATAGAAGCACATAGATGAGAGTTTCCCAGAATGAGTAGTCAGGAATGGACTGTTCTCTGCACTGTTGGAGGGAATGCTTATATTGAAGAGATGGAGATCCATTTGAGTATCTGAGTAGATGAACCAAGTAAAATGACTGTAAAGACTCTATTAAAGTCTTTATTAAAGTCTTGCCTTGAACCATACCTGGTCACTGGATAAATTCCAAACGCCATTGATTTTATCATATACTTGTTCCTGTGGTAATAATCTTAGTTGTTTGTTTTGAATTAATGCACTCCTTAGTTTAAAATCACGGTACATTTTAGAAGTTTCATAAGCTCTACAAGAAAAAAAAGGACAGTAAAGCTGAAAATGTAATTTTAAAATTTATATTTATACAAGTCTAATATTACTGATATAATAATGCATTTATTTTCTACACTGCATACATAATTAATGTAGATGCTAATCAGCTTTACAAAAGTCAGTTTTTATTTTTTTGCTTCAATGAAGGTTAGGAGTCAGTCAGTCAACAAGCATTTATTAAGTTCCTACTCTATACCAGACACTGTGCTAAACACTGGAGATACTAAGAAAGGCAAAAACAGTCCCTGCTCCGTCTAATAGAGGAGGGAACATGTAAACAACTATGTAGAAAGATGATTATACGAGACAAATTAGAGAGAATCTTAGGAGGAAGGAACTAGAATACTTGGGGTCATATAACTAGTAACCAGAAATTTTAAAATTACTGGTAGACCATTTTTCTATTTTATGTTTAAAAAATTATGTTCAAATTTAGTAATGACCGTCCTCAACATCTAATTTTTAGGTAGAAAAAAATCTCAAATGTTCTTAATACATCATACAGCACAAACTATTCATCAATATAGGGAATTCCTGGTGAGGAAATTCTTTCTATGGAAGATCTGCAACTGCTTTGCAACTTACAGACTTGGAAGTCAACTAGCATTAATGAAAAGTCTAATATGTGCCAGGCACTGTGCTAAGTGCTAGAGGTACTGTGCTGTGCTCTGGTTTATAAAGTTCCCCGGGGGCACTGAGGGGTTAAGGACACTCTAGGGCCAGCATTCTTTCCATTATGCCAGCTATAGAACTTATATTTTTGTTATACCTATATTTATATATACATGTATACATATATGAAACAGTAATTCCTACATATATATCATGTGTGTGTACATATATGCACACGCACACACACACATACAAACACACACAACACAGAGGCAGCTAAGTGTCACTGGGCTTGGAGTCAGGAAGACCTGAGTTGAAATTTGACCTCAGATACTTACTAGCCGTGTGACTGGGCAAATCATTTAACCTCTGTTTGCCTCAGTTTCCCCAATTATAACATGGGTATAATAAAAGCACCTGCCTCTCAGGGTTTTTGTGAGGATAAATGAGATAATATTTGTAAAGTATTTAGCACAGCGCTCAGCACATAGTAGGTGCTTAACATATACTTCTTTTCTTCCTTCCTATATTTATGGTCCAAACTAGCTCCCTTTTTCTTTTTCTTTTTTTTTATTAATTTATTTTTAGTTTTCAACATTCACTTATACAAGATTTTGAGTTCCAAATATTCTCCCCATCTTGTCCCTCCTCCTAGCCCAAGATGGCGTGCATTCTGAATACTCCTTCCCCTAATCTGCCCTCCCTTCTATCTCCTCCTCCCCCTTCTCTTATCCCCTTCCCCTTCAATTTTCCTGTAGGGCAGGATAGACTTCTATACCTCATTTCCTGTATATCTTATTTCCCAATTGCACGTGAAAGCAATTTTTTTTTAACATTTGTTTTTAAAACTTTGGGTTCCAAAATTTCTCCCTTCCTCCCTCTCCACCCATCTTCACTGAGAAGCAAACAACTTGATACAGGTTATACATGTGAAGTCATGCAAAACACTTCCATAGTAGTCATGTTGTGAAAAACTAACTATATTTCCCTTCATCCTATCCACCCTCCATTTATTCTATTCTCTCTTTTGACCCTATCCTTCCTTATAAGTGTTTCCTTCTGATTACCCCCTCCCCCAAACTGCCCTCCCCTCTATCATCCCCTTGCTCTCTTGTCCCCTTCCCCTCCTATTTTCCTGTAAGGTAAGACAGATCTCTATACCCAATTGAGTGTGTATGCTATTCCCTCCTTAAGCCAAATCTGATGAAAATAAGATTCACTCATTCCCTCTCATCTTCCCTCATTTCCCCTCCACTGTAAAAGCCTTTTCTTGTCTGCTTTATTCTACTTCTTCTTTTCTCCCTCTCAAAGTATAATCCTGTCTCATTCCTTAATATTATTCTCCAAATATAACCCCTTCATCTTCAACTCTCCCTGTGTTCTCTATTTATCTATCTGTCTATATACGTACATATAATTTTTTTCCTCCAACTGCCCTAATACTGACAAAGGCCTCATGAGTTACAAATATCATCTTTCCATGCAGGAATGTAAACAGTGCAACCTTAATAAGTCTCTTATGATTTCTCTTTCCTGTTTACCTCTTCATGTTTCTCTTGAGTCTTGTATTTGAAAGTCAAATTTTCTATTCAGCTCTGGTCTTTTCATCAAGAATCTAGCTCCCTTTTTCTGATGTTCCTTTTTCTGTCAATGATATTATTCTATCATTCACAAAGGCTTAAAACCACACAACTAGGCTGTTCACACTGTTCTTTGAACAAATTATGCTTTTTTCCACCTAGCTTAGTAAATATGATAGTGTTTGCTTATAATGTTTTGTTTGCTTAAAATACCCTTCCTTCTCTTTTCCACCTACCCAAATCACACTCATCCTTAAAGGCTCATTCTCTACAAAATTTTCCCAAACCATTCTGGCCTACATAGATCTATCCAATGAATACTAAATCAATAGTACTATCAATAAATAGTACTTACTATCACTTCTTTGGACACGTAATATAATAGAAATAATACAATACATTAATATGATATGACAACATATAGTATAATGTAAATAACGGACATTCTTTACATATTGTCTTATATTTATATGTTATATTTGAATATTTCATGCATGTACACCTTATCTTCCTAAGTAGATGGTCAGCTCCCTGGAATGAGGAACTATTTTTTTTTTTAATCTCCCCTACTGCTAGGTACATAGCTGGAACCCATGAATGAAACAAAGAATAAAGTAAAACTTTAATCAGAAATCTCAAGGAAATGGGCATTAGGGTTAACTGTACTTTCTCATTAACAGGTTTCACCTGAGAATCATTTTTATTTCAACTATTGTTGAAATATATAAGTCCATTTTCCTGGTTTGTTAAGTACAGTACACTGAGGAAAACATTTCTTTGAAGAGTCAGGATCTTACAGTGACTCTGGATCAGCATTCTGAATATCAATGATGATTGTAATAATAATACAGAAATAGAAAACATAAGAAATTGGCCTGAACACGAACTCAGAAACATATCCTAGAAGTTATTTCGTATGTTTCTTTAAAATACTAATACTTAATGTAATTTTCTCATTTCCCTTTTTCTGATAAAGAGTAAATGCAGGACAATATTCCAGATAAATGAGCATTCTGATTAACTGAACTACACTTATTTCTAGCTTTACTACATATATAAATTGGCTAACAATTTTGCAATATCAATAAAAGAATTTCCTTAGCTTTCAAAATTCTAGGAAGTTATGTGTAAGCAACATCCTATAAATGGAACTATAAAATAGTGCCTCTCATTTTGAGACTTCTTTGTTACATATAGACACACACAGACAGACAGACAGACAGACACACACACACACACACACACACACACACACACACACAAACACAAACTATAAATCATGGCCAAAGAGAACTTGAATATGCCAAGAAATGTGAAATTTCTATTTCTTTAATCATGTACCCTTAATGAGTAGTGGAAATATAAATTACTTATACAGAAAATACTTACAACATTTGTATACTGTCAAGTGGATATTGAAGGGTCCAGAGTTCCTGAAATTGCCATCTTTCCTTAGTATTATCAAAACTACTTCTAACATTATACTCAAATCTTTGTATTTCTTGACCATATAGATACAAAATAAAATGGAGAGCTTGCTGAAGTAGATCTAACTTGATCCAAATAGTTGAGGCAAAGAAATAAACAAAAAAACTCAATAAAACCAATCACCCCTCTAATGAGAGAAAAAGCACTCTCAAATTTCTCAGTTTTCCAGTGAGATTGCCTATATTAATTCAACTCTCCATCTCTCTTTATCTAGCTACCTACTGTGGACAAATAAGAATCCTGGAAAAACTTTTAATATCTCAGCTTACAAATGAGATGAAAAAAATGTGCTTTTTCAGGTTTCTTGTAAGGATATTATTTCACATTATTATTCTAGGAAAATGATGCCCTATTTTTCTCTGCACTTTCTTTAATAAATGTGCCTTCACATAATAAAGTGACTAAATAATATCTAATAATTCAAAAACTTTTTTTTTTTTACCATACCTGTGTACTGCAATGACAGAGGTAAAAAGTCTAGGATTCCCAGGAACCACATTTGTAAATATAAATTCAAAACGAGTATTGTTACATTTTGTTAGTATGTAAAGAGCTTCAGTCTGGCCCCGTAACTTCTGTAAGGACAAATTGTTAATGCTTATTAATAATTTCTATTTCATAGGCAATTATTAGTTAACAGTAAAAAATTAGGTTAAAATATAAATACAAATCTAAAATAATGCAGATCTAGAATATATCTTTGTTATACATTTAATGGTTAAGGACTAGACTTGTAATTCCGCTGATATAAGGACTCCTGGGGAAGGAAACTCCTTCTACCAATGCAAGCTGGCATCTTCTTTGCAATTTATGATTTCAGACAGTTGTCTAGAGTGTAGAGAGGTTAAGTGACTTGTCCAGAGTCACCCAGCTGGGATGAGTCTAAGGCAGGACTCGAACCCAGGTCTTCCTGGCCTTGAGACCAGCTCTCCATCTACTTTCCATGCTGCCTCAACATTTTTAACAAATGGAAAAGACTTTTAACTGACTTTTAATTGCCTGTTACATTTTTAACAACTTTAATAAGTTTTATATTTTTCATACTCACAGAATTAGCAGTTCTTGTTGTAATATTGATTATGCAGTTGTAGCCAACAGCTAAAGTTAAAAATAAAATATAAACATTAAAGTAAATTAAACAGAGAATACACAGTGCAAGAAACAAAGTGAAACCTTCTACACTTTTAAACACCAACTATATAGTGGAATAAAGGTTTTGTTTTTTAAAGCTCATAAATTATTGTCGGTATACTTTTTTTTTTAAAGGAAAAGGAGAACTAGAGATTCAATTCTGCAATTACTTACCTCTTCCTAAAAAAATAAAAATCCAGGATGTGGGAGTCTGCTTTTTTTACAGTTCACATAACATATCCTTAAATGAAATTTGGCATCTTTTACCAGATGAAAGAGTCCATAAATGGACAGTAGGAAATAAGAAAATAATTAATGGTAAACCCTAGGATGTTACATTATTTTTAATCATTTTAAAGATCAAAAACACAAGTTATCATGACCATTTACTACTGCATAGTTATGAGAAATAACAACTTCCTTGTTATGGAAATAGGTTATTGGTTATAAAATTTAGGTCAAAAGTGATTATCAAAAAAATCACAAAACAAAGAGGAATCACATTGGAGAGATGGGAAAAGGCCATCTGGCAAGTGTTTAATTTCTAAAAAATCCCTTCCCTGAAGCCCTAATCCCATATACATGTCTAGAAAAGATGATCTATCTGAAGGAAAAAAATCAAATAATGCAGAAAAAGCATTTATATTTTGTATTATGATGTAAACTTTGATAGTTCTATAAATTTCTTGACATTTTATGAGTAAGTTCTTTTCATAGCATATATTGTTAGGCATTATAAACAACTATGAGAATGTAGTAATTTACTCTATGGATTTTGCATCTTTAAGTTAACTTAAATATATACTTACAAAGATTGACTCTGGGTAATGCCAAAGAATGCCATATAATTCTCAAATTTGTCACTAACAATCTACCTGAAATAAAAAGAACTGAAATGTTTAGCTGGCCTAGAGATTTTAATTTGTAACACATCTGTGAAATGAGAAATCTATGATTTCTCAACCTATTTATTAGTAACAAAATCACATTTATAGAACACTTTATAGTTAAAGTATTTTATACATATTATCTCATATAATCCACAGCACTACTGTGAAGTAGTGCAATTATTATCCCCATTTTACAGATGAAGAAACTGAGGTTCACAGAGAATAAGTACTCACAGTCAAGATTCAAAGCTAGGTCTTCCAACTATACCACCTATTCATTTCCTCATTCAAAAAGTTATGGATAACTATGCTTTCCTGTGTTCAAGGCACAGTGTTAAATCATCAAATGAAGGTCAGAGGTTTAGGAGACTGAAAAAAGTAGAAGCATTGAGTGAAGATGGCTTTTTTTAAAGGAATTTGGCTGAGTATAGGGGAAGAGATGGATGCCAGTGGGAGGATCTGGGGATTTTTTTTTTAAGGATAGAGGAAATTTGCACACCTTTGTAGGTGTCCTACAAAGGGAAGAAATAGGTTGATAGGAAGAGATTTCATATTAGACAGGAGAGATGATAGCGGAGGCAATCTGCCAGAGACGATGGGAGAGAATGGGATCAAGAATACATACAAAAGGCTTGGTTTTACAACTCTGAGGTACCACCTCACCTCTACCAGAAAAATGTTGGATGTTGGAAGGGATGTGGGAAAACTGGGACACTAATGCCCTGCTTATCCAGCCATTCTGGAGAGCGATCTGGAACTGTGCCCAAAGGGCTATAAAACGGTGCATACCCTTTGATCCAGCAATATCACTTCTAGTCTATATCCCAAAGACATTGAAAAACAAAGGGAAAAAGATCTATTTGTACAAAAATATTTATAGAAGCTCTTTTTGTGCTGACTAAGAACTGGAAATCAAATGGATGCCCATCAATTGGGGAATGGCTAAACAAGCTGTGGTATATGATTGTGATGGAATATTATTGTTCTATAAGTAATAACAAGCAGGATGACTTCAGAAAAACCTGGAAATTGGGCATCTAGGTGGTGCAGTGGATAGAGTACCAGCGCTGGAGTCAGGAGGACCTGAGTTCAAATCCGGCCTCAGACACTTGACACTTACTAGCTGTGTGACCCTGGGCAAGTCACTTCACCCCATTGCCTAGCCAAACCCCCCCCCCCAAAAAAAACCCAAAACTAAACTCAGAAAAACCTGAAAAGATTTACATGAACTGAAGCAAAGTGAAGTGAACAGAACCAGGAAAACATTGTACACAGTAACAGTAATATTGTATGATGAAGAACTGTGAATGACTTAGGTATTCTCAGCAATACAATGATCTAAGACAATCCCAAAGGACTCAAGATGAGTCTACCTCCAGAGAAAGAACTGATATTGTTTGAATACAGACTGAAAGAAGCATGCTATTTTTCACTTTATTTCTTTCATTCTTTTTCTTTTATTTGAGTCCTCTTGCACAAAATGACTAATACGGAAATGTTTTACATGATTGTAACCTATATCTGATTGCTTACTGTCTTGGGGAAGGGGGAGGAAATGGAGGAAGGTATGGAATTTGGAACTCAAAACTTAAAAACAAATTAAAAAATTGTTTTAACATGTAATTGGGAAAAAATAAAATATATTAAATTTTTAAAAATCAAAATATTTCCAAGAAGCTAAAAAAAAAAATAAAGGGCTTGGTTTTGGCAAAGAGAAGGACTACCTCTTTATCATAAACTCAAGTAAAGGAGGAGCTAGTTTGAAAAAATGTAATGGGTATGTGAGATGAGGAGTAGGGGAGAAAAAAGAGCTTGCAGAGAATGGCAGATCCAAGATGGTAGAGTAAAAACAGTGACTTGGTTGAACTCTCCCCCAAACCCCTCCAAACACCTGTAAAAAATGACTCTAAACAAATTCTAGAGCAGCAGAACCCACAAAAAGGCAGAGTGAAACAAATTTCCAAGACAACCTGGATGGCTGATGGGAAAGGTCTGTTGCGCCGGGTTGGGAGAGGAACACAGTTTAGTGTGGGCTGTGTAGGCAAAGACCATACCTCAGCAAACCTGGAGCAGGCCTCAGGGAACTGAATCACTAGCAGCTGTGGCAGTTTCCAGACTTCTCAACCCACAAACGCCAAAGACAACTTAAAAATTCAGTAGGAAAGGTCACTGAACTTGGATGAGAGAGAAGCATGGTCTAGCCCCAGCGCTGGCACAGCCACGAGGTGGCAGCAGAAACTGCTTGCAGAGCTCTTGGCCCACAGATGGAGGGGGGATTGAGCAGCTGATCAGAGAGGCATTGCAGGGATCTCTTTGCTGGTGCTAAGGCAGGATTCTCTTGCTTTGCTTGTGCTTAGATCTGGGTCACAAGGGGTGGTCCTGGGGTGAGAAGGAGCACTGGCATGGCAGAGCTTGTGGTGGCACAGAGGGAATCCTCCTCACAGTTTCAAGCAGAAATAGTGAGTGTGGTCACTCATGGACCACGGCACAGGCCAGGAAAGGAGTAAACACCTCTCTTTTGATCATACCATCTTGGAAGAACTGAAAATTTACAGATCCCTATAAGTATCTCTGAAAACAGCTGCACAAACCCCCTGAAGCTTGGGACAGTATACCCTCCACACTGGAAGCAGACCCCTACCTTAACAAAGAGTTTAAAAGTCAAGTAATTGGCTAGGAACATGAGCAAACAGTAAAAAAAGTCAGACCACAGAATCTTACTTTGATGACAAAGAAGAGCAAAACATGCAACCAAAAGAAGACAACAAAATCAAAGCTCCTACATCCAAAGCCTCCAAGAAAAATATGAATTAGTCTCAGGCCATGAAAGAGCTCAAAAAGGATTTTGAAAAGCAAGTAAGAGAAGTAGAGGAAAACCTGGGAAGAGAAATGAGAGTGATACAAGGAAATCATGAAAAATGAGTCAACAACCTGCTAAAGGAGACCCAAAAAAATACTGAAGAAAATAACACCTTAAAAAATAGACTAACTGGCAAAACAGGTCCAAAATGCCAATGAGGAGAAGAGTGCCTTAAAAAGCAGAATTGGCCAAATGGAAAAGGAGGTCCAAAAGCTCACTGAAGAAAATAATTCTTTAAAAATTAGAATGGAGCAAATGGAAGCTAATGACTCTATGAGAAATCAAGAAATTATAAACCCAAACCTAAAGAATGAAAAAATAGAAGACAATGTGAAATATCTCATTGGAAAGACAACTGACCTGGAAAATAGATCGAGGAGAGATAATTAAAAAATTATTGGACTACCTGAAAGCCATGATCAAAAAAAGAGCCTAGACATCATCTTTCAAGAAATTATCAAGGAAAACTGCTCTGATATTCTAGAACCAGAGGGTAAAATAGAAATTGAAAGAATCCACTGATCACCTTCTGAAAGACAATGGCTGCTACTTTTTTAGTTGAGTATGAAGTGAGGCCCTCAGGTTGGGGACAGGGGAAGGTATGCAGGCTTAAGGACAGAAGAGAAGGTATAGAATAACTGCTGTGGTAAGCAGAATAGAGAATCAACTAGGGAAGAGTAGAAGGATTGCCTTCCTGAATTGAGGGACCAGCTGAGATTAGAGAATGTAAATTCATAGCCACATAGTTTTGTGACTTTCTCACACTCTGTTCAGCAGCACAAGTAGAAGCAAAGGAAGCAGATAGTGGGAGTAAGATGGGGTGGGATATGGCAATGTGTGAGTGGAAATGATGGGGTGCTGGTACCTGGACCACAAAAGGCAAAGACCATGTCTCTGGAAGCAACCCAGAATCTCAGCAAAGCCCCTGTGAGAAAATTCTCTCCTTGACCCTGTAATTTTTCAGATAAAGGCTATCAGTACAGGCATAGGGTTGCCTGGCCCAAGGACTCGGTCTCTGGAGCCTGGAATAGAATTATCTTGTCCCTTCAACAAAGCTATCTCTGTTGACTCCCTGAATTAGCATACTTGACATTCTTTTCCCTGTCCTTTTTCCATATAAGCATTAGCATTATCCTCTTTAGCTTGCAAGTTCCCTAAGGAACTTCACCCAGAAGCATCACAATAAACTTTGCCACCTGACTATGTTAACAATGATTTTACTGAGCCAGTAAGACTGAGTGCCTGAATTCATCCCAGGAAACATTGCCCTATACCCTGACATTTTGAGGGGCCCAGCACCCCTAAACCACATCAGCATGTCAGAAATATGATCAGAAAATAAGGATTCAAGAGTAGAGAGCAGTATGTCATTGAACTGGTCCACCAAGAAAAGGGAGGATAGTATAGCTACAGTAATAGTAAAAGGGATTTTTTGAATTAAGAATCAGTTTAGGTCACAGGAGCAGGGAATCTGTGGCCTTAAGGCCACATGTGGCCCTTCAGGTCCTCAAGTGCAGCCCTTTGATTGAATCCAAACGTCAAAGAACAAATCCTCTTAATAAAAGGATTTGTTCTATAAACTTGAAATCAGTCATAAGGTCGCATCCGAAGACCTAGAAGGCCACATGTGGCCTTGAGGCAGCAGGTTCCCCATCCCTGGGAGTAGTAAGACATAGGGTGAGATGTAATGATAAAAGATTATTATCAGATAACAGAAACATGGAAATGTTCAAGTGTATGAGAATCCTTGTAGCCAGCTGATGTGCAGTGAAGGAATAGGTTGTAGGAACTGAAGAGATTGAAGACTTGGGAGTATTCAAGATATATGTTGAAGTTCCCTAGTACCAAGGCAGGAACTGGGTTTGAAAGTGAGATTATGAGACTTACATGAGCTGATGCAAAGTGAAATGTACTGTGTACAAAGTAACAGCAATATTGTAGGATGATCAGCTATGACTTAGTTATTCGTAGCAATACAATGATCCATGACAGCTCTGAAGGACTTATGATGAAAAATGCTATCCATCCCCAGAGAAAGAACTGATGGTGTCTGAATACAGACTGAAGCATACTTTTTTTTTTAACTTTTTCATTTTTCTTGAGAGTTTTTTTGTCTATATTTTCTTTCACAACATGACTATTATGGAAGTGTTTTTCATGACCATACACGTATAACCTGTATCGAATTGCTTGCCTTCTCAATCAAGGGTGGTGGGTGGGTAGGGAGGAAGGGAGAGAATTTGGAATTCAAAGTTTTAAAAATGAATATTAAAAACTGATTTTACATGTAACTGGGGAAAAATAAAATACTAAATAAATTTTTAAAAATTGCGAAAAAAAAAAAAGTGAGACTGGGCCAGGTCCTGAACTCATTGAGAAAGGAAGGATATTGGTATTAATGGCCATCTTGATGTGAACTGGGTGAGAAATTTTAACACAATGAACTACAAAGGAGAGATTACTGAGTGATGATTGTAGAGGGAGGTTCTGGAAGCAGCAATGTAATCTGGATTCCTTCATAGGAACCATTGAGTTAGAGGTATGAGAGAAGGTAAAGCTATATTCAGTAGTGAAAAGGATGGCCAGAAATTTAGTGTCATGGGGACAGAAGGGTGGAGAGGTCTCAGGGAGTGCTAGTAAATGGAAGAAAGAGTGGGGAGGAAGAACGAAAGGGAATTTGGAGAATGGGACTTCTAGGGGGCATAGCGGAAGGAGCTATCTGGAGTAGGACCTTGTGAGTTTAGGGTTGAGATGGATGGGAATGAAGGAGTGGACAACAAGGTTTGGGGAATGATACCCTTTTCAGAGGCATTCCTCAAATTACTTTACTTAGCATAAATAAATTCAATCCTGCCTCAACTGTACTTAGTACAATGCACTGCTCATGACAGATGTTCAATAAATGTTTATGGAGAGAAGAAATGTTATATGGAGTCAGGAGGACCTGAGTTCAAATCCGGCCTTAGACACTTGACACTTACTAGCTGTGTGACCTTAGGCAAATCACTTAATTCCCATTGTCTCACCCTAAAAAAAATGTTATACTACTCACTCAGGTCATTGGATAGAAGTCATACAACAGATTTTTATCAGAATAAAAGAGAGCAATGAATTATCTCTATGGAAAATTTATTCTCAACTCCCTTAAGTGAAAAATATCCCAAATTATTATTACTGTATAGCTACTTTATAGATACGTATTATTGCATAGTTAAGTAGACAAAACTATCATATAAATAATCTACATAAATCTAGATTATTACTATATAGATATTATTAGATGCAGTAAAGACTATTACTGTTACAGATTGCTATATGGATATTATCTGTATAGATAAATAATAGATATCATTACTATACAAATAGATATACTATATAAAGTTATTATTATATAGACAATCACCCTATACATATACTGTATAATTTACTTTCAAAATTACCTGAAAACTGGGGAACATTTATAGGAAACGTATGTAAGCATCAAAGAAAAGAGAACTAAATAGTCAAATAAGTTAAATATAAACAATAATATCGTTTCATGCTGATTTAATAACATTTTTAAATAAGTGCATTTGAATAAAATTTAATTCAGCTCAGAGGATCAAACAAATCAAACAAATAAACATCAAAGATAAGTTAATGCCAGCAAATGTACTCACCTCTATCCCCATTGTTTCCTTTGGTGTCTTCTATTGAATCTAAACAATCAATAAGGACCTCTCCCGGTCTTGTTTTCATTTGTCTAAAATAAATTTAAAGTCCGTAAGTTTCCAGCATCAATGGAATATATAATCTTTTATCTAAAAACAAGGCAACCATTTATAATGCTTTCATTTATTGAAAGCGCCTATTTTGACTGCTAAGTATGTACAAAATCCAATTAAAGTGATGATATGGTCCTGGTCCTTCAGGAACTTAGAATTTAGTTAAGGAAACAAGACAAACACACGAAGTAATAATGTAAAGCAGTACATAATTACATGATAGAATGGTTCAATGTCAGTTTAGCAGGATTTTACCAGCGGAATGCCCCAGTGATCTCTGTTTGGCCCCATGCTATTTAACATTAATATCTGTGGACAATCAGAAAGTTACTTTGAGTTCAAGTCATACAAGGATTGATTGAAAGAACAAGCTCGGAGAAATCACAAGGGACACATAATAGCTGCTTCCAAATATTGGAAAGGCTGTGATGGGGAAGAAGGATAAGACTATTTTGGGCACCAGAAGGCAGATTCGTTGTTAATGGGTAGAAAGTTTCAGAGGTTCATTTAGGTTTGATATCAGGAAAAACTTCCTAACAATTAGAGCTGCTCAAAAGGACAGTGGCTGCCTTAGGAAGTACTAGATTTCCCCTTCATTGGAAGTCCCCAAAGAGAGACTGGCAGGCCACTTATCAGGTATGTTATAGTGGGGATTCTTTTCAGGTATGGGTTGGACTAGGTTGTCCCTGCAATGTCTTCCCACTCTCAAATTCAGTGACAGAAAAGTCGGACATTAGTTGGACCTTGAAAAATGGGTAGAATTTGAGGAGTCAGAAGGGTGAAATAAGGGAGAAGAATAAAACTAAACAGAGGAGTTAGGAATGATCAAGATATGCTCTGGGGATTATGGGGAGAATGGCTTCGCTGGAACAGAGATTTCAGGTTACGGAGGACTACCATGAGGTAAAATTGGATAGGTTAGCGGATGTTAAATTATGGAGGGACTTAGGTGCCAGCCTATAGAATGTGGATTTTATCCTGTTGACAATAGTCAATGGAAGATTTTGGGATAATTTGTGATAATTTACTGAAAAAAAGCTTTCAGAAGATTAATGTAGATGGGTTGAAATGGGATGAGAAGAAAGCAGAAAGACCAGTTAAGAGATTGTTAGGGGCAGCTAGGTGGCACAATGGATAGAGCTCTGGCATTGGAGTCAGGAGGACTTGGAGTTCAAATCCAGCCTCAGACACTTGACCCTAACTAGCTGTGTGACCCTGGGCAAGTTACTTAACCCTGATTGCGTCACCAAAAAGGAAAAAAAAAGATTTTGTTGTAATAGTAGCCCAGCAGTGATTGGAGCCCTGAGGTAGGGATCTTTTTTTTTTTTTTGAGAGGGTTTTGTGACACAAACTCTCCTGGTTTTCCTTCTGTCAGACCTCTCTTTCTTGGTCTCCTTCAGTGGATCTTCACTCAGGTCATGCCCACTAATTGTGGGTATCTCCCAAGCCTCTGTCTTTGGCTCTCTTTTTCTCCCTCAGGAGCCTCAGCTTCCATGACCTCAGTTATCATTTCTATGCTAATGATTCTCACATCTACTTATCCAGCCCTAACCTCTCTCGCAATTTCCTGACTCTCATCTCCTACCTATAGACATCTCTAACTGAATGCCAGAAAGACATCTTAAACTCATCACGTCCAGTACCAAACTCATCTTTTCTCCTCTTTTTCTAACTTTCCTATCACTGTGCAGAGTACTACTTCCCTCCAAGTCACCCAGGTTCACAACCTAGGCGTCATCCTTGAATTCTTACTCTCATCCCCTCCTCCATAGGGAGGATATAGACACAGGTATGGATACATATTGGATATAGATCCAACCTGTTGCTAAGCATTCTCTCCCTCCTTATCTCCACCAAATCCCACCTTCTGTAAGAAGCCTTTCCCAATCCCTCTCAATCCTGTCACCTTCCCTCCGCGGATTAACTCCAATTTATCCGGCATACAGGTTGTTTGTACATAGTTTGCAAGCCGTATCTCCTATGAGAATGAGCTCCGTGAGAGCAGGGACCGTCTTCTGCCTTTGTCTCTCCCGTGCCCACCCCTTCCTTGGCACGGTGCCTGGCACACAGTAAGCGCATAATAAATGTCTGCTGACTGTTAAGATGCTTCTCCTATAGAAAGCTGAGGAAGAGGAGAGCTGAACAGTAACGGTGGTGGTAGGGAGGTTCCTGCACCCCTCACTGCCCGGGGGGGGGGGGTGGTCAGTAGGAGCCGGCCCCGGCCCCGGTCCGGCAGCTTCCAGGGCAGCTCCGGCCTCTCCCAGGGGAGGCGGCCATCGGGGGGCCTCGGACTGGCCTGGACCTTCCGACGCGCCCCGCTCATCCCCCCGCCCCCGGGCCCTGAGGGGCAGCGACGCCCCCTGCAAGCCGCGGGGAACCGGCCCTTTGGGTGTGGTCTGCTACTCACTGAGAGGACACGTCGAACCGGACATCTCGGTCCTCCCAAAGCGCGTCCAACACCGACATGGTAGCCCGGACTTCGGGAGGGATTCCCGGGGCGCTTCCCTCCGGCTCCAAGGCAACCGTCCCTTTCTGTCGCGGGTTCTACGGCGAGCGCCAGGAGGCAAGCTTCGCGAGAGACTGCGCCTGCGCCTGTCCTAACCCTCCTCCCCTCTCTCCCTCCCTCTCTTCGCTCTCCGGCTCCTCGGGGTTAGCTGGAGTGACGGTGGCGCCTGTCGCCCGGCTGCCTGTTCCTTGCTCTTCGCAGTGCCGGCCACTGGGCGTGGAGTTTGGAGGCTGAAGGCTCTTTGCTAACTAACCCAAACGCAGCTGTTTCTGCAACACTCTATAGTCCTGCCAGCTCCCATCTACTTTAGACCGCTGTTCCCTCCCCAAATCCTTCTCTCTCACCGCCCGCGCTCCATTAATTCCCAGAAGCTCAAATTCCCTAGGAAATCCGAGACTGCAATAGTTTTATCCTGTCTGCCAGTCGGTCACCAAGCATTTATTAACCTCCTACTATGTGCCACGCACTGTGCTAAGCATGTATTAGGCACCTGCTATGTGCCGAGTATCGTGCTAAGCTCTAGGGGTGCAAAGAAAAGAAAAAGACAATCCCTTCCCCCAAGGAGCTCATAAACTAATGGAAAAGACAGCATGCAAATTACTAAGTATAAATAAACGATATATGTGTATATATATATAATTTGGGAATAATCAATTGAAGGAAGGCGCTAGCATTATGAAGAATGGGGTGTCACAAGAAAGTAACACCCTACCCTACCCTTTATTCTGGCTTTAGACCAAACCAAAAATATGTTATAGCTTTTTTTTTTTTAAATTTAAAGAATTACCTAGTTCTTTACTTTTCTCCTTACTACCCAGGAGCAGCCTTACTTTCCTCAAAATATCATCCAAGCTCCCTAGTGAATTTGAGGAAAGAGTTAAAACGATTTATGTTTAAGGAAAAGCTCTACTTTTCATTTCTGTCACATCCCCATTACAAAAGTCAGCGTTTCCATAGAATGATGACGCTTCAAGCAAAACATTTAAAAAGCTCTTTTCTCTCTCCCAGCCTGTTGACTACATTGTGCTTCTTTTGCCTTATTCTCGAAACCCCTCCCCCAGTAATCCCAAAGTATCCCTTTCTACCAGAGCGCCTCTGTGCTTGAAATTCCTACTGCTAGAGTAACTTTTTCATTTGGACTAAAAAGTCGCTTTCTCCTTCCAGCCACACTCGCATTCCTTCGCACGTCACTTTAGCTAACCCGTTAGCGATCCGTAATTCCAAAAGTGTGGATTCATTTATCAAATTATCTGGAAATGGGATCCAGGTAAATTCAATGAGGATGAGGTCGAGTTTATAGAACAGTGGTGGGGGGAGGGCAGACTGGAGTTGGGTTAGAGAAGTAAGTAAGTTGGCAGTCCAGAGGGCACATAAAGATCTTTCAGAGTAGGGGTTGAATGCTGCCCAAAACAGACTGTCCTTCACTGTTATGGTGACCAAAAATTAAGCTGGGTAAGGGCTGCATGAGTGAGACTTGGACAAAAACCGGCTCAGATCAGGGACACAAAGTCTGATAATGCACCTGGTAGCTTAATGGAAGCTGTTAAGGCTTCTATTCCTTTCCTTCCTTAATCCTTGCTTGAAGGCAGCATGATACAGTGCAAAGAGTCAGGGTACTAGTCAGAGCATCTTGGTTCAAATATCAGTCCTGACACTTGGCAAATCACTTCACCACTCTAAGCCGGTCTCTTCATCTGTAAAAGGAAGGCGTTACGTTAAGTGACTTCTGAGGTCCCTTCCAGCTCCAAATGGTGACGTTTAAAAAGTTTAAGAGACACAGTTTCTGATAATTGATCTTTTTATTAATAATGCTAGCATTTTATTAATGAAAGAAATGATGGCACTCTCAAATGCCAAAGACCCTCATGGTGGAGGGCTCACAGTTAATATGCCCTTGGAAAAGTGGTTGTTCCTGAGGGTAGCAATCAACTCTAATAGGGTAACAATTAATGAGAAAATTAATATTAAAATGAGAGGTAGGCTATATTACAATGAGAGTCTTGAGGTATGTGATAATGAGCACTCAAATCTTGGTATCAATGTTTGTATTACAGGTCTCACAAAAGGGAGAATACACATTTTCCCAGACCTGTCTGAGTAAACAATGAGCAGGAATCCATCCATTGCCTAAACTTGGAATTTCTTTACTGTCTTTGATTAGATCTTAGCCATCCTTTGTAAGTCTTTAAGAAAAATTTCCCACACTGGTTGATTTTTGGGTTGTTAAATACAATACGTTGTTAAATACAATAGAGAAATTATCATTTCTCTCAAAATCTAGGATTCAAATCCTATGATTGATGACTGATTATCTGGCATCTGGGATGAACTGAAGAAATGAAGAGGAAAGAAATACTAATAAAGAATAATAGCTTCAGCCAAGAGATAAAGGTCAACAGAACCTAGAATGAACCCAAGGATTAGGGGTACTTGCCTGAAGCTGACTTGCCCAGCAGGGATTATGATGATTTATGTTAATGACTTCATAACAAGAGTAAACAACTAAGGAGGACATCTGGATTGCTGATGTTTGAATGACATTTGGGGAAGTACTTAGGAAGAAAGAGGGCTATTAGTGTCATGGGAATAGTAAGAAAATGGATGTAAGTTTAATTAATATAAGGCTCCCTGACCCTTCTGTATTTAAGAGAAAAGCTCTTTTCCAATCTCCTTTGCTGGAACAGCATTTGTATCTTGACACCCCAAGCCTCTGTATTAAAACCTAGTACCTCTGTTATGAGGGCTTGCCAAACACTTTCGGGGTTTCTCATCCATCTGTGTTGTCCACCTGACACTCAACTCTCACCTGTTTCTCCAAGAAGCTGTCACATGCACAGAGGCCACATTCTGGTAAACCGTCTCAGTAGACCAGGTTGAGGGTAACCAACTGACCACAAACCCAGTTAGTGGGGTGTCTACCCAAGCATGTAAAGATTTCCCTGGGTAGAATGGGTAGATGAGAACAATTTGTTCCAACTGCCATGGAGGTGGCTAAAGCAGGCACCGTGGAGCATTTAGAGGTTGGTCAGACATCAAAGAAGCCAAGGTCATCCAATGGAATAATGGAGTTGTCTGTAACTCCTCACTCTTTTGAATTCCCCACAGTCAGCTGCCAAGTCCTGTTGATTTTTACCTCCACATTTCTTGTGTGTGTCTGCTTCTCTCTATTCACACAGCCACCAGCTGGGTTCAAGCCTTCATCATCTCTCACATGGACTATGGCAACCAGCTTCTAACTGGTATTCTGCCACATTTCTCACCCCTCTCTAATACACCCACCACATGTACTGTTGACAAATTGATATTCCTGTAGCACAAATCTGACCGTGCCACTCCCCAGCTCAAAAAACTACAGTGGCTTCTTGTTACCTTTAAGATAAAATAATGGCTCCTTTGTTTGGCATTTAAAGTCTTTCATAATCTGGCCTCAGCCTACCTTCCTGGTTTATTACATATTATTGTGTTCCAGCCAAAGGGGCCTATTTGCTATTCCTAATATCCAATGAGTCATATCTAATCTTTGTGCCTTTCCTCTCCACTGCCTGAAATGTACTTTTTCCTCACCTCCATGTCTTGGATTATTTAGGTTCTTTTAAATACTGACAAGGCATTTCCTAATGCTCTCTTCACCCCTCCCCCCCATCCCACCTAACTATCTTACCCAATTACCTTATATAAATTTTATATTGACTTATATGTGTACATGTTGCTTCTCCGGACCCACTATAATCTTTTTGAAAGGGGGCTCTAGCACCAATCTGATTGCCGGGCACAGAAAATAGTTAATAAATACTTGTTAATTGATTGTTGAACTGTATGTTCACAGCAGTTTATTTCTCCTGGCAGCCTGCCTTTGGGGCAGAGAAACTTGGGGGAGACTCTGACCTTGGCTCTTAAGTAGGAAGAGGGGACTTGAGAGTTGACTATGTAGAACGTACAAAGGTGACAACCTGGGAACAGGTAGCATGCTGAGATATAAACTCAGGCAAGGCGTATCAGAAGATCTGGACTGAATTCATTCTGTGATATAGGTGGAGCTTGAGTGGTAGTACCAATACCCTACAGTTCCTAGACAGTGAGATCTGGTCCTTTGGACTTGATTCATCTGGATTTCTCTACTGACTAGCAAAGCCACATTCCCCTCTCCCTGTTAACTGGGTGTGCCAGCTTTCATTTTGAATCTGTTGCTTTCAATTGGAATCACATTTACTTACTATAAAACCTTGTTGGCTAGCAGAAATGCTAAGCCATATGTGTATTATTTCAACTTTACAAATAGGGAGAGACTATGAGAGAGAATGTTCCTTATTCTAGGGAGATGAAAGATTTGTTCAAAGGGAGCTTATCTTGGGGCTCCATAAAGTAATCAGAAAAATCCAGGTTTCCTGAGAAGACTTATATAACTGATGCAAAGTGAAGTGAGCAGAACCAGGAGAATATCGTACAAACAGTAATATTGCAAGGATGATCAACTGTGACTTAGCTACTCTGATCAAGACAATGATGCAAGACAATTCCAAAGAATCCATGATGAAAAATGCTATCTACTTCCAGAGAGAGAGAACTGATGAACTCTGAGCGCAGATTGAAGCATACTTTTAAAAAAACTTATTTTTCTTCTTTTTGTGTGTGTGTGTGTTTTCTTTTTGCAACATGGCTAATATGGAAATATGTTTTCCATGACTTCACATGTGTAATCAATATCATATTACTTGCCTTCTCAAGGGATTGGGGATGTGACAAATGAAAAAACCCACAAGACAGAATTTCTGGGTAATTATTTTACTACCCAGTTTATTAATTTACTTAATAATTTGATTAATTTATTAATATCCAGTTTATTAATTAGGCTAGCTCAAAATCAATAAATTGATGGTCAGTGGTTTCTCTCTGTAACCAAAGACTCCCAATGGAGACCCTGAGAGCTTTAAATACCCTTCTAAAAAGGAATGCTCCTGACAAGTGAAACTCAGCTTTAATTGGTGGACATTTAATGAGGAGGTAGGCTAAAAGTTTTCAGCCCTTTCTGCTAAAAACATGGCTTGATCA